ATTTGATGATGACAAAGTAAATAGAGCGATTCGACGATTATTTGGAGTGTATAAGCCGCTTGAATGTTTTTCATGCTGCATTAGCAGATTGACTTTTTGCACCAAATGCAAACGTCATAGTCTTCCTTCTGCCAAATTTATCTTCATAGCGGACCTGTTTAAAATCGTTCGCAAAACCTAGAAAAGTGAATGTGCTTCAAGAACTGGTCCTTAAGAGCTTCTGGGAATAAAATAAATTTATAGGATCTAGTTGTATTTCTCTCAGCGGCTTGGCTTTAACTGAGATATCCAGAGCTTATTTAACCTCTTCATATTTTTCTTCAGATTTGCTGGAAAAGCTACCAGAAAAATCCAAATAGGCCTTGCATGAATTATTGAAACATCCGCTTCTTTTTTAAGTGAAAAAGAAGCACTCGTTATTGCTTTGAAGCTTTCTTTCGAAAGAATACGCAATCTTAACAAAACAGATTTTTTTTTCTGGACTGCAAGACAATCCAGAGTCATACCAGACAAGGAGGTTGCAGAAACGACCACAATAAGCTTTATTTGCGTTCGCCTCGTAAAGAGCAGATCACTAGAAATATAAAAGGAAGCTTATAACTATTTACAAAGTAAGGCGCGGCTGATAATTCAGATGCTAAAAGAAGAAAATAAATAGCAGGTGTCACATCAGCTTCCTATGATACTGTAGATGGAGTTTACAAGGCTTTCATCCAGCAAAAAATGAAATGATTGAATCAGCTGTCATTTCATGCCGTCATTGTTATATCAATTTTGAACACGATCAAAATACACAGGGAAGTTTTTTGTTTTAGTTCTTGTTGCGTATCAGATTACATTTCAGCTGTACTATAAATTTTAAATCAGAATTTTGGTAGAGTGATAATAACCATGAGACAAAAAATAAAAGCTTTCATGAATCTCCGACAAAAATTCTAACTTGCTCGCGTAAACACTATCCATTCAAAATATTTATATACGCTGTTCCGTGTTTTACCCTTGGATAGAAATTAAGAAAACGAAGATTTTCATGTTTTTGAGCGATGCTGTGCTGTCCCTACACTGATAGTTGTATATTACTAGCCCGTAAAAGTAAAATAAATTTTCAGCTCTCAACAGGCTCTAGTTTTCGAGAAATATGGATTTTAGCGTAAAGCGCCCAATTGAGGCAAGCTGTATTCGATAATTCTCGAGAACCAAAGCTTGTAGGGAGCTAAAACTTATATTTGTACTTCTACAGGCTAGTAGTATACAACTATCTATGTAGGAACAGCTCAGCATCGCTTTAGCAAAAACATGAAATCTTCGTTTTCTTAATTTCTAACCAAGAAAAAAAAATACGGCAACAGCGTATATAAATGTTTTAAATGGATAGTGTTTACGCGAGCAAGTTAGAATTTTTGTAGGAATTTTTTGAACGGAGTTATGATTTTTTTCTCGATTTTTCGAGCAGTTCAATCTTTTTAGTTTTCGCCTCGTAACTCGAGAAGGATCAAAGCTGGTGCAAAAGCGAGATAGCTTTCTTGTAGAGCTTGCTTTGCTCTATCGAATGGTGCCTTAGAACCTATCTAAAACAAGAAGTTCATGATTTGTTGAGATTGAAAATCAAAACGGACGGAACTTATGAGACAACCTGATACACACTCGAAATACATCATTTTAAATGAATGGAATAATTTTAAATGCAAGAGTTTTGAAGAAAATTCAAGTTTTCGAGGTTTTTGACTTTGTACCGATGTTTTCTGCTCGACAGGTAGTGCATTCTGCTAATCTGTCTTCTGCATTTACGTAGTGATTAGGGGGGATTATTTTGTAGAACCAGTGGCCGTATTCATCAACGAACCCCGAGGGTTAAACTAACCCTGGAGGGTTAGTTTAACCCTGGAAAGCGTTTAGCCGTATTCATGAAACACAGGGTAGACTCACCCTGAGGGTTAAATCTAACCTTGAGGGTTAATTTTACCCCGAAAGCGACTAACCCGTATTCATCAACGAACCGTGAGGGTTAAACTAACCCTGGAGGGTTAAACTTATGTGATTCATCAGGGTTAATTTAACCCTAGCTCAGAGCAAGGTTAACTCTACCCTAACACTTCATACAAACATTTACTCGCATCTAATAGTTTATGGAAAATGATCAACGAGTATTGTAGTATTTAGTATTGGTTGTTGTTATAGTATTTAGTTTCGACTTCGTTTTATGTTCATATTCGAAGTACATACACTGACTTCGCGAGAAATAGAATTCTAGCTTTGGTGATAAATGAATGCGACGAGGAAAAATGGCATTCCACTCTGACAAGTGCCAAAACAGAAGAACCCCTTTATAATAATACGCATTAACCCCTAAAGAGTAGCACAAGCCCGGTACAAAACGAACTGCGCAAAAGTAGAACTTACACTGCACAATTGCACACATGAAAATAAAATCACGCTGTAAGATTGGATGCTGCACAAGTATGCTAGAGATGTATTATAAAAACTAGTGTTAGAAGCTTATTCGTTGACTATACTACTATAACAGTGAAAGAATAGAAGCATAAAGTGAATTTTAGCCCGTACTTAGGCATTCTGTGATGTGAGTTTGCACAGCGCACGCGTAACTGACGCCTTAACCCTCCAGGGTTAGTTTAACACGTTTCGGACCGCGAAATCGCGCGCGGCGAAAAAGAGTGGACTTTCAGCCGTTAGCCTACAAAGGGACCTTATTTCGCAGCCTATGGGCCACATTTGTAATCAGCATGTCAGGTAAGCTCCATATCCAAAGTTCTGAGTAAATTCGAAGTGTTTGAATTTTGTCGCTTGAGAGGGACTTTTGTGCTTTCTTGAAAGATGGGAACAAGAACTCAGATTCTAATAGTAATCAAAAGTATCTATGTTGTACACGGTACACATCAGTATTAAAACTATGGTTTTTCTCTTTGATATCGAAGCAAAGGAAAGTTGCGACGTCGCACGCGTCGTTCGCGTCGCCGCGCTTCGTTGCAACTGTTGTTCGATTTGTGCTCATATCTCCTAAACAAATACATGCGGCACAACTCTACAGATTCATTTGGAAAGTAGGAGCTTAGACCTTTGACTTAACAACTTTAGACTAAAAGGAATCCTCCTGCAAACGCCAGAAAGATCCTTCGAGGCAGCGTGCTGCACCATGTGCAGCACCGGTCCGAAACGTGTTAACCATCAGGGTTGATGAATACGGCCACGGGTTCGTTGATCGATACGGGTAGATCGCGTTCCGCGGTAAACCCTAGCCTATGGTTGATGAATACGGCCAATGAACCCTGAGGGTTAAACTAACCCTGGAGGGTAAGCTTAACCCTCAGGGTTCGTTGATGAATACGGCCACAGTTCTTGCATGACTTTGCGAGTCTCCTGACTCATCAAACTACTACACCTAATCCTCAGTGCATGCAAATTTAATACTATTATGCAACTATTTACTTAAAAAACGCATTCGCTGTACAACGGGATTGCTTGTGGTGCCGTACCAGCACCGTGCCAGCGACGTGTCAGAGCCGTGCAATATCGTGATAGAAGCGTGCTGAAGATCAGTCGACCAGTAATCGTGAAGCGCTGCACACCTGAAGAAACGTTTTCAAAAAAAGTACTGGCTGGTGTAGTAGTACGGCTCTGGCACGTAGCTAACACGATGCTGGCACGGCAACACAAGGACAACTCCCGTTGTACAGTGAATTGCATTTCTTAGGTGAGCAGTTGCCAGAATAATGGTAATTAGTAGTTAACGCGTAAGAGGCGAAAATTTCATAGTAAAGTTTGCGAGTTCCTTCCACAAGACAGTCATTATTATCTTATATATAAAGCTGAATGTCTGTTTGTCTGTCTGTCTGTATGTCTGTCTGTATGTATGTACGTATGTTCCGAATACAAATTTTTATTTCTGAACCGATCGGGACCAAACTTGGCACACATATACTTCAGGGCAGGGAGCGTGTCATAGGCTACTTTTCGTTATCGATCGATATAGATTTTATTGATTTTTTGCAAAATTCGAGCTAGAGGGCTGGGATTTGGCAGAGGGGGGTAATCGAGCATGCTGATCACCCCGAAGGGGTGATCAGCATGCTCGATTACCCCCCTGTGCAAAATCCTAGCCCCCTAGCTCAAATTTTGCAAAAAATCGGTAAAATCGACATCGATCGATAACGAAAAGTGGGCTGTGACACGCTCCCTGCCCCGAAGTGTATGTGTGCAAAGTTCGGTCCCAATCGGTTCAGAGATAAAAATTTCTATTCGGAACATACGTACACGGGTCTAGCTGGCAGGCCCGGCGGAGCCGGGCAAGCCAGCTAGTGCTTAATATACCTGACTCTGAAAGAAAAGTAGAAAAAACGATAGTCCCTGGTTCAAACATAAGGGGCATTCGAAAAATTGTGGATGGTATGACTGCGCACGACACGCACGCATTTCTGGTAATCGCATTTTCTTACCTTTAATTTCTACAAGAATACTTTTTCTGCTTGCATATAATAGTATTCAGACACCGGAAGTCACTGAGCTAAGCGATGAGTTGTTACCTTTTTGTCTAAGTGTTTTATGCTCTTGTGAGCGCAAAGACCGCAGTCAAATCCAAGTCGTACGATTTTTAAAACAACCTATACCTATTGCCCGAGCTGGGGTATATATTAATTTGTTCACTCATTCAAGTTCACTGAAGCGCCTAACGAATGTGGTTGTGACAAAAAATAAATAAATGGATAAACAAACTGGCACATGAGTTTGCAAAGGATATAGACTCCATTATTATGTAATGTATGCCAGTTATAGTTTATTTTTAGACTTGCATGTTTCATAGACCTTGTTTGCGTACACAACTGTTGTGGCATATCGCAATACGAAACATGAAAAACAAGGTCAGATTTTTGAATGTTTTTACACTTGTGTTTGAAAAATCAAAAAAGGGACGAATGATTAGGGAATGATGGGCTTACTATGCAGGAGGCATGATTTTAAAAAAGAAATCGATTAACTCCAATGTTGGCTTCAAACTTTTACTTGAGTAACTGGAGAAATTGGTAGATTATCCAAAATTGGGATAAATAGGTAGTAATGATGAGGTATCAGGTAGTAGAAAGCAAGAGATATTAAGCACCGATATATGAAATAGAGGTCTGATATGGAAACTAAAGATCAAGAAGTACCATTTCGCATGTGGATAAACAGAAACCCAAGAACGCAAACTGTAATACTTGCGGGTAACATAAAACGAGAAAGCAGACTACTTTCATCATTTTTCGATCCAGAAATGGAGGAACCAAGCAGAGCTCGATTTAGGCTATCGATACGTTCACAAAGCTTTGACGAGGAGATGCTGAGAGAGCACATCAACCGACAAAGCTGCTCTTTGTTGCTGCCGTCCTGGAAAAAGTTTCACTCTAACAACTGAACGAAACTAAAATTAGAACAGAGAATGCTTGCCTCATATCCGAAAGCTTTCAGTTGTCCAGATTCGCGGAACTTATGTGCAGCGGTCCTATAACTTATCAAAAGTCCAAGCAGAACTTTAGAGGAGTCACAGACAAAAAATTATGCTTATGCAACCATATAATATGCAAATTTCCAGATACTTTTAGGATGCCTGCTGCCCTGTGCCAACGTCGCTGCAGCTACGTGCTGGCGTTGTGGTGTGCCAACGCTGCATGTCTGGAACGGCGCTGGAACGGCGCTGACACAGCGGCGGCACATGGGCAACTCCGCAGATTCTCCTTATTACAAAATATCAAAAAACTCCAAAAACTCACTCATGTTTAAGCATCTCCCTTTGCATAACAAGAAGCTGCAGATTTATATTGCAGAGCAGATCGTACATATGCAGTAAATCGAGATGAGCACTAACAAAATAGAAATGGATTAAAGAAAAATGGAAAATATTTGTTCCCAGACTCACTCCTCTGTAAATGCGCTGGTCGATAAAGATGTTGACTTCCATTCGCATTCTAGCTCTCGACGCAGCTGAGTTGACAAGCGAGAAGCGTCTGAATCGCTCACCTAGGAACATCTTTCTTGTTCTTCATATAGGTGTATCACCGAAGACGCAAGTACCGTCTAGTCTCAACACCTTCTAGAATTATGTGAAAATCAATCTGGAGCAGAAGCCCTGCCTGTACACTGCTAGGTTTTAGCTGACTACCCCTCAGAAGAAGTTTGTTTTGTTCAGAGCAAAAGCAAGAGAGACGCTAGGTTTTGCCTCTTGACATCGCTTTGCAATTCTCCCTCTGGAACTGAAAATTAACCCATTGGTGAAATTTTGTGCGGCTATGGTTATTACATTCATGCTTGGAATTACTTGCAATTAAGTGAGCTTATAAAGAGATATTGAGTATTTTATAAGCATTTTATTCCAAACTGTCCTAAGTAAAAAAATCCACCTTAGACATTAGGTCATCCAATCCAACAGGACCATCCACCTGAGAGCGAGCAGCATTGATACAGTCCTCACTGCAGCCTGCTCGAATAGCGGTCTCACTTGCAAAATTGCCTGGAGGTTCAGGATTCAGATCTGCTCGCAGAAAGGTTGGAGGAAGAGGGTGATCCGATACGCTTGCCTACAACATAAAAACATTACAAGATGCCGATTTGTTCAAAGTTCTTTAGGCCCCGGGCAGAATTCACGCGATTTGATCGTCGCGACTGAATCGCGACGAGACAACTGTTACAACATCATTCCATGTCGAACAACTTGCATTCGGTTGTGATACTTTTCCAGCCCGAAATTTTGAATGTGAAATGAAAATGAATGGAAATCTTGGCGATTAAGTCGCGACGATTAAGTCGCGTGAAGTCTGTCCGGGGTTTTAGCTATAAGTAACTTAGTGCCATAGTATCCTAGCAGAGGTTTTAAGTTTGAAAGGATGTAAAGTGAAAATGGTTAGCCCTCTTTGTAAACTGAAAATGGCTTATTTAATCTTCACAACAGTCTGAATTATCGAAAAGGACACATTCAGAAGCCGAGGAGACTCTACAAAGCCGAATGTTGTCCGGGGAGACGGCCCTTTTGAACCGCTAGCATTAGCAACCTAATTACTGCGCGCTTCTGATTGGTCGGCGCAGCCGCTTGGGTAGGCGAGAGCTATGCTGCCGTTAGAGACGTCGGAATTGGGCTGCAAAGACATTCTCAGATAAAAAGAATTGAACAAGATTTTGAGTTTCTTATGAAACTCAAAAATGTTATACGTGGGCGGCTTAGGTAAATTCCCCAGCTTACTGCGCAGGATCATGGTGTTTTGAAATGTGGGAAGGGCGAAAAAATCACGAAAGGCCAGTAAAAAAATGCAACTTTAACTTTTAGTCTTCATAATTCAAACATCGTCACTATCGTTATTCGAGTGCTCGCTTGCTTTGGAATGCTCAGAAATATTAGAAAACTTACAGATTATAACAAGGGCGGAGTAATTAGCACCGCCCAGGCAGAGTAATTAGCGCTAGGACGAAGCGGTTCAGAAGGGCATACACCCTGTTGTCCGAAACAAATATTCTGGGACTGGGACATTGGATGTTAGTTACAGTTTGACCGAAATACTTGTTTAAACCATTTATCACCCCTCCCCTCCCCCTCTCTTTTCCAGACACCCAATACACCTCAGGCTACATCCAGAGTCCTGTGTGCCGAAGCAGTGCCAAAGTCGTGCCACTGCCGTGCCGGCACCGGCCAGCGGAGCTAGCACGGCGATCGAACGATGCTGGCACGGGCACCTTTAGACGCAGCCTAGATGTAAGCACCCTATTGACCATGTTGCTTCTAACCGGAGTAAAAAAAGGGAATCTATCTTGCAGTATATGCAGAAGCCTCTGGAAAAAATTGTCGTTCAAATTTCTGTTAGCTCTAATGATAGATAAACCGCATCTACCTAGTGATTCTTTAGAGACAGGTAAAGAAATTATTTTATTTTTGTAAAAAAAACTTGCCACGTCTCCAGATGCAACATCCTGAACATACTCCTCGATTTCCACTTTCCTGAACGTCTATTATCGGGTACTGTATTTTTTTTGTAGCAGAGTCAGAAAAGTTTTACCTTTTGACTATCGGAGCATATCCGTAAGAGCTATCCAAGTTATCCGAAAAGTCGTCAGCATCAGCAAGCATTTCTGATTAGCTTTAAGAAATCGTAAGAGATCAGAATGTGAAATTAATCTGGAAAAGCATGATTCAATATTGATTAGCGAAAACTGCCAAGCAAAAATTGCGATTAGGAAGAGACCGAAATTCATGACATTCTGCTGCCGCCGGTTTGAAATGTTACCCAAAAATTTCTTTTATCCTAAACAGATTATCAGACTATTCAGTAAACTTCCGCACTACGTTTTCGTGAAGTTGGCAAAGATCACTGTTTTCCACTATTTTGCTAACGTAGCCATGGTCAATGAATGCATCCAGTGAAGCTACGAAACCTCTTTGGCTCCCCCCCCCCCCCCCCCCCCGATAAATTTTACAATTCGAGAATCACCCATGACGATTTTGCGCCAGTGAATCCTGCACATTTGCTCCTTCTTTTACTATGCCAAAAGCTCATATATTTACATGTATACTTTATCAGGGAAAGTTCCTGCCCAACTTTTCTGTTATGGAAGTAAAAATTGTTCGAACTTAAAAAAACATCGTGACCATCTAATACTTTTGCTCAAAGAAGAACATCCTGTTTTGAAAGAGAGTATTTGAATAAACTGAAAAGCCGTCTATGGTCACAATGTAGTCTCTTTCTTAACACTTTGATATCCGCTGATATTGTTAGCAAAAGTAAAATTGAGATTTCCCATGCTTTTGAAGTCTGGCGAAGTTTTCGATGCCGCTAGCAACATCCCGATTACCGCAGAGAAAACTGTAATCAGTTTCTTCTGCTGGGTCACTCTTCACATAATATACATTTTCGAAACACTAATTGTCAGATTGTTGAGTATAACAATCTGACAATGCTGGGTTCTGACTGCATAGCGACAACGAAAGATGGCGCAGCCTGGATTCCGCAGAACAGAAATTTTGATGTGCCTACCTTACCCTACCTAGGGATGTAGAAATTCAACGGACTTGAATCTTTTAGTAAAAATCATGAGCAGCCGCCCCTCACCCAATTTTTCTGCTTTTTGGAGGTATTGTATGTGATGTGTATTCTTGTCATTCATAGATTTCTTTACAACAAAGATGCTCCTTGTTGTTAAAAACAATCGTCAGAGCTATGAACGTACAGCAGCATAATACTTTCGCGCAAACCTAACATACTCTTTGTTGCCATAAACGAAATTACAAAACAATTCCAAAACATACAAACACAACGAACTCTTCCGATACGTGAGTTCTTTCGCCAGTTTCCACATCATGGTCAACAAAAAATTAACTAAACACCACTGGCTAATTGCAACACTACTTTATAATACTGCACAATGAATAAACCGTCGATATGTACAGCATAGCCCGTCGCCACAAAAAAGTCTCGAGTTTATCATAATTTATAGTCGTGGTAGTGCGATGACATTAATTTACGCTGAATCTCCTATGTCCAAAATAATCAATATCAAATCATCATTTGACGCACTTACTGAGCCTTACTGCAACTTCGTGAGTTTGTTTTGCAAAAACACATATGATGACCCAAGCAGGTCTAGACTACAATAGCGCTCATAATTAATCGAGATAGTCACCGATCCTAACCGGATTACACCGAAATCCGCGTCGCCAAAAGTTAAAGCAAAGTGGATGAATTCTGAATTTAATGGCACCGTCCGATTCAGTTCGGCAAGCTGCATCCTCTTGATTTTGAAGGGCCCGTTTACTACGGTAGATGCAAGCAGGCATTTCGTGGATTTTTGCCTATGGTGGATTACTCAATGCGCAGTGTAAACACACTGATTGACTACCGTGGGCAAAAATCTGAAGATTCGTGAAGATCAACCGCTGCCCTTGCATATACCGTATCCAAACGGCCATTTCTTATATCAGAAGACGCGCTTCAAAGATCTGTCGAACGGGTGCCCTTCAATTTGGAGTTGTCCACTCTCAATCAAGATTTGACGATGCGGTTTTCGGCAAACTCCGGTAGAGTTCGGTGACTTTTTCGACAGAAAGTGAGCCATTTCGTATATAGTCCGTGCGTCTACTGAATAGTCTATTTAACTATGCATCAACTGCTGAAATGTTTCTCGAATTATCATTAGTATTCTGTAGCAGAAACACCGTCCATACAAATTCAGACCACAACATAGTCTTTTATCACGCAAGACATTCTAGATCATGAAAACGTTATTTACAACTCATCAGCATTACATCAGAAGCTCGTTCATAATAAAGTAAAACTCGTTGCAGGATACCCGTAAATCAGAGGAGATACTTATAAAAGAAGTTTCACAGAACAACAAGCAAAATGATTCTTCTAAGCTAGATCAGAACCATGGATGCCACCGCGGATCCATCTGCGACAAATTTTCGTGACTACGAGCTCTTTCGATAGCATTGTAGAGTTCATTCTGCAATGCACTGGCTTCCTGCGACGCCATCCCTAAATATCATAAATAGGATCTGACATGATTAATAATACAACTTCTTACTTGTCGTCTCAGCAACCATATTTTTGATGAAACTGTTTGCTTCAGCACATGCGGCGACCTAGAACAAATACGTGGAAAGAATTGTCGAAAATTTCCTGTATTTTCCTACCTTGTCATGATTGCCTCGAATAATGATTTCGTCTAGAATAAGCGGTCGAAGCAGAAAATGTTGCTCCCGACGGAACAAACATCGTACTACAGCTGCTGCTGCCCACAGAAAATCGCCTGAAACGATACAATATAGAAGAGGAAAGGAAATCTGCATAGAATGACAGATCTGCCTAAAGTTTAGATTGCAGAATAGGAGCATGTTTCAGATTTGGTTATTGTTCATTAAGCATGAAATGCTATGTCCGAGCGAGCCCGAATACCCCGGCTTCTTTTTTCTTTTGGAATTTGATTGGAAGGTTTGAACTACGCCATTGCCCAACTACCCAGTACCGTACTCGAAGACGCGATTGGTCCGCTCTGAAGAATACGATACTGGGAGAATACGAATGTTCCCGTGAATGACGATCATCCTCCTGGTCTGTACTATTGTTGACCAGACCAATCAGCGACACCGAGTACGGTAGCTGATAGAACCATAGGTAGATGCACTTCTTCGGCAAAAATAAAATATGAATTGCCGCAGGGGCTATGCTCATGCTAATCAATCACTGAATACCACGCTAATAATTCAAATACCCTTTCTTCTAGACTCAAACTGCCTTTGAGCCATACGATAAGTAAAGTAAAAAGTTCCCTGTTTCGTGATTTCGAACAGGAGTTCATTTGAAAGGATTCTATTTAGACCAGAATTATAGTGTTGTGTTATAATGGTTTGAGAAATCCGAAAAACCAGCAAGTGAAGTTGAAATTTACCTTCCAAAGTCATTCCAAGGAACCATTGCAAGTTTGGTGTCAACCGAAATGGCACTTTCCTCTCAACTCCTGGAAGAAAACTGTTTGGTACAACAAGACTGACTTCTACAATGGTTCAGGAAAATACCTGAGTCAAAGGTGAAGTTGTACCGGGGAGCAGCCACTTGAGCTGTAGAAGTGCGAATATAAAGGTCGTCCAGGAACAGCGGAGACAAACGCACTAACATCTCCAAAATACTCATGACAGCCAGCTGTTGAGCAATCTGCAAAAGAGAGCACATGAAGAAAATTCGGGGATGATCGCGAGAACCATTCAGAACAAACCCTTTTGCGGAATAAGTAGTAGTAGGTGGAGTCAGTGAAACGTTCCAATATATAGTTTTGGAAGATTGAAGGTCCAATGAAATTTTCGACAACGAATCCCCTGTAACAGACGATTTTCGTGACATCACGGTTTATCACAGCAGAATCCTACCTATACGTGTCCAGCATCACTGAGTGAAGGTCTCCTTCCGCAGCAGCTATTCTATCGTAGTACATAGTGATAGCGTCATCAGGTCTCATACCGAACGTCATCCCGTATTCAGCAAATACATCAAGAGGACGTATAGTTTCAAAAATATGAGGTTTTTTCGCCACAAAGCTCATCGGATAGGCACCTAAAAGCAAATACTGATAATCGCTGAGAAACACGTAATAAGACGACTTGAAAACCTCGAAAAACTGCGCTTATTTTCGTTCCTTTTTTTCAGGATGTGCACTGCCTCTGAGCAGCTTAAAAGTGAAATGTCTGTCAGCAGTGCTTCAAAAGTGTGCTGGCTTTTCACTGCACAGAATAATGCTAGATGAAATTTCAAAGAAGATTGTGAAATTCCTAGGCAGTGTCCACGTAAATTTTCTTTTTCTCCTCAAGAAAGATTCCATATTGCCCAGCTTTCATTTATTAAGAGCGTGTCATCTACGAAAACTTTCAGAAGAAGCTTTCTGGACTGGGTTTTTTCAGGACAACATTATAAGAAACTTGCCTCCAACATCCATAAGAACAGCATGCGGAGAGACGACTAGCTGATTGGGTGTAAAAACAAACAGATGACGACGAGCAGTTTCCTGAAATATAATTTAGGTAAAACTACTGATTACTGATATTGTAATCAAGAGCTAGTGACTGGTAATACTGTAGTAATGCGCTGTGAAAGCTAATGAGAGGTTTTCTAGATACTCAAGCACAGACTTTCTATGGCATCACTTTTGCAAAGAAAGGCATGAAAGCTTTATATTCGTAAGCCATCCACCTGTGACTATGCACTGAATTCTGTCATCTGATTCTCAAAAATTCATAAAAACTTACCCGTTCCTTAACCAACAATGTCTTCACTAATTGCAAATATTGTTGACAGCGATTGGTTTTTTCTTTGAAAATGGAGCGCTGGAGGTAGTAGACGCTTGTCTGAAATGAAGAATTCAAACGTGAGACATGCTTCTTCAGTTATGAACGTAAACTTGGTTACACTTCCATGAATACCCGCAAGGGTGGACAACTTGATCGTGAGATATGTTCTGGAACTAATGGTAAGCAAGAAGTACCTTTCCATTGACGGCCATTATTTGCAGCTTCTTCATGACTCTCCCACTCCTCACCACAACTTCCACATGAGGATTGAATCTTGCTATCAAAGTCACATACTGGTACTGCTGCAAATGCCGCCATTGCTCTTTATGAATGACCAGTCACCCCAAATTTGTCCATACCTTTGTGACATTGGCATTGAATGATGACGGTATTTCTATGCATGCCATTGCGCTGCTGTAGTCAGCAAGGAACTTGCTGGATAGTCGGATGGGATATCGTCTGAAAACAGCTATGCAGCTATCTCAGCAACAGTAAAAAATTGACGAAACCTTGGCAAAGAGTATAAGCGATTATGCAGCTTTGTTTGCCATTTAATGACGGTCTCAGCGAGTTTCAGCAACGCTGGTCCAAATGCAGTTGGTGCATTGAGAACTTCCAAAACTTCAGTGCGAATTTCGTCGATGAACTGGAATCACCACAAAGTCCTAATTTCAGATGAAAACTTCGAAGACGCTAGCATCAATCCAAGCTGGCTACATCAAAAGAATGATATTTTTGTAAACTTTTACCTGTTCTTCAGTCTGCAGTGGTAGCGCATGTCGAGAAGAAGATGGAACCTCACTTTCACGAAGAATATCGTCGCCTATGTTTTCCTTGAGTTTAGCACACCATAATGACATCGTCGCCATAGCTTTGTCATCCAGCCTCGCTGTTTCCAAACGAGTTTCTCGCGCTTCATACAAGCACCTGAGAAATGAGAAGTTAAACGAAACGGGGCAGGCTTTATTGATGTCCTCAAGCATTGAAAAAGCCAGAAAACTAGGTAAACTAATCTGCTGTCGCATTCAAGCAGCACAAGTACGAACTATTTGCATTCTGGATGCTGATGCTATGCCGCACTATAAAATTTCTTCATTACCATCCTCTATTTCTTTCTTGACAATCATACACCTTAGGCCTAAGGCATACCTCGCGCGGGCTAAGTCGCGACATTCACGCAACGTGGCACTTTGCCAGATATCTCCAAATTTATCGTGCACGGTCCTTTAACACATGGACGCGTAGCTTCTGTAACTTGTTGCAAACCGATCAAGTCCTGCTTAGAAAAGCGCTTTGACGACCACTTATGAACAGTCGTTCAGGTACCAAATCGCGCAGCGACTGGAATCACGTGAGGCATGCCTTAGGCCTTATAAAACAAAAACTAAAAAAAGTCAATTTCAAAGCCCTCGTTCCCGTCTGAAACGTCTACTTTTAAGTAATACTATAATAGTATTGGTTGCTTAAGCTGGTCAAAGAAAAAGTCGAGTCTTCCAGTCCTCTGTTCGCGGACTGTGGTGTAATGGAGGTTCTTCCTTCAGATTTCCCATCATTCCTTTCGTTGTACACGGTCCAATCCCTCCTCCCCCCCCCCCCCCCCCCCCACCCGTCCCACTTTTGCACTTTTGAGCACCCAAAAGCACCCCGAACATTTAGTACAGAAATTTTTAACCTTACCTGAGAATTTCATCCTTCAATTGAGAAGCGTAACGCAGATGTCTTTCTGCCCAGAATTCTCGCATTTCGGAGAAACCAGTTAGAAGCTTGTCCCACATCTGAACGGTTGCAATGTTACTTAAATTTTGAATTTTGCAAGACTCAGTGTAAAAACCTACTCGAACATCAGTCAAACGAGATAAGCATGCTTTCTCCAGAATCTTGACCAGAGCAGCGTTTTTGTGATCATCCGGCAATGCCGGTATGGGTTGTTTCTTTGACACTACAATAAGCGTTTAAAAAGAGGAAAGTTCTGGTAGGATAAAAAAATGAAAACTAACCACTTTCAATAACTTTCGCAAAAATTGCTGCATCAAGGACAGGACGCAAAGCCGAGACGACTAGAAGTGGATATGCAGCTGCTATTCGTTCCACCACATGGATAAAACCCGATGTAGGCCTTTCCTGGAGTTCTGTCACTAGCTGTGGTAGCCTAAAAAATTACATGGAAAGTTTTGCATTGATACTTCAGTTACAAACCAAGGAAGCCAATTGAAAGGAACGATAGAGCGAGCTCTGTCTTTCAAAACTTGATCCAGGCCGGTAGCGGAAAATATGCCACATGCGACCACGTGTTTCGCCGTCCACAGTATTCTGGAAAAGGGGTACAATAAAAAAACCTTAGTAATTTGCAGTTTTATGGTGATTTTTGATAGTCTGGCAAGATAAATGGGTAATTAGGTCGAACCATTACGATGAATGACAACTTCTGTTTGAGGGCATTACTCCTCGGGTTTATGGGTTTAAGAGCGAAATTGTAGACTGAATTTCAGCTATTTATAAGATGCTTACCTGGCAATGTACTTCCTTGCTCTCGTTTCATTTTCAATTCTAGCTGCTTCGAAATAGCTATCAATCGCTGGTGATCCTCGAGACAATGCGGAAGCTTCATGCCTATATTATGAGCCAATTATGCTATATCAAAACATGGGAATAGAAGAGACTTACACTTCGCTGTGGAAGAGATTATCAAGATGATGTGCCCAAGTTTTGAACATATTGCAAGCAGTATTCATTGGTGGAGAATTACTGGGATCTATCATGGCTGCAGCGGAAGAGAAGGCATGAGTAGCATCGTCGTTTCTGTAAAGTCTGCCATTTGCGAATAAAATTTTGTTCAAAAGATCATTAGTCTCTGCATGACTGTGGCAAAAGCAAGATGTAAAATACGAAATATCAAAAACAATGTTTCGTCGCAATGTCCCGATATATTCGCAAACCAGACCTGAAGACTCGCCACCTCAAAAACCACTATTTGAGACGTTTTTTGCGTCCAAAGTTGAGAGTGCCATGTCTACCAAAACATCAAAGCGAAGTGAAAGTTGATTTTTCGTTATGTCATTTTTTTACTCGCTGATAAAATTCTCCTTGTAATCCAATATGATTACCTTTCAAGCTGACTAAGTATGGCACCCTTCTGGTAGAAGAGCCGACAACATTGGTCTCGAGAGAAATCTTCGATGCGAGCAGATTCAGTAATCAGAAGTGCCTAAGACAAAGATATCGAGTCATATACGAAATTTCGAGCATCCATATTCCGTATGAAGATAATTACCTCTTGCAAAAATTCTGCTTTCTGTTGTGCGGTTGTTGAGGGTTTCTTGGCGAGCCTACGTAAAGTCTTCAAGTGATCGATGACTTTCTGATGACAGTCCATCATGGGAAGAGTGATTAGAGTATGTAACCTAAAAAAACATTTTCAGCAGCATTTTTTTTCATCTCCTAGCTCTTATTCGTATGGCATAAACTCGATTTACTTGTTCAGTGTCTTTATAGCCATATCATCCATTCCTCTTTCTCGTGCAGCTCTAGCTAGTAATAATTGGCCAGTTGCAGCCGAATGAATTGGAAGGATGGCTTGTGGATTCATTCCGGGAGGCATGACAATCTATAAAGTAAATTTAGGCACACATCCCCAAATTCGTTGAGAGTAGACTTACTCCACTTCTCTCCCAATCATGGAATCTCTGTACCATCATCGTATGGATTTGACTTCGCCAATCGTACATTAAAGAGATGAAAGACATCTCATCCGAGAGGGAGTAAGTACGTGATCTGAATAGTTTATTAAACACTCTGTAATTGTAAAAAATAAAAAAAATTAACCTCCATATCTTTATGACAGTCTTCATTTCTTGCATTATTGCGCTACAGTTTTGATTTCCAACATCTAAAGCTCTCTTGAGATCTAGAACATCTCCAACTTCTCGAATCATCGTCATTGCCTGAACAACGATTATAGGGAAATTCATACGAAAAATAAGACATGACGTACTTGCAGAAGTTTGATATGTGCATGTGTCAATATAGGAGGTAGAACGCGCCAGCCTACTACCAGTGCTTGTGTCACATCATCAACTAACTTCTTGGCTGGTACAAGCGGACCATCTTCGGGATCTCCCTGTAAAGCAAAATGTGATAGGGCCATTCAACAGGCTCGAGATGATAAGACAAAAACTACCAAAACTCCAAGCATAGCTCCATAGGTGATACTTGGAATGACAAAGTCAGGGCGTGTACATGCGAGGATCTAAAAAGAAGAATCTTCCTTTTGTAGGAAAAATCTATCAGCCTTCTATGAAAAATGCGTTCAATCGAGAATAAGGATACATTTCAAATGAGTTTTACAATATTTTGAAGTGCTTTGAGCACTGGTTCGAAATTGTTAACATTATCTGCCGAGCGCCTAGTACGCCAAATTATGGATGACCTTTGATGGTGAATTCAATTGTTACGGCTCCTTCGGCCCTCAGATTATGCATATTTGAGTATCTGTTTTCCTAGAGCACCTTTACATTTAGGACTGGATTATTTGAGAGATTTTGGGCCGATTTTGGGCCCATCTCAGCTGCGGATTTTTTGAACTCCAAAAGGCTCATAACTCGGCGCAGAGGCGCTTTGCAGATAACGAAAACAAATTTGTAATTAACATCTAGAGCTCTTTCAAATGGTATAGGACATTTTAAAGGCCACTTTGACTAACTTCCCTTGTTGGTTTAGATAAGCGTTTCAAGATACAGACCTGATCACGGCACTGCCGCGCAAGATACCAATCCGGCAGATGAACAGCAGATTCAAGCAGAAGCTCCGGATTTTCGACGTGAGAACTTTTCGCTATGTCACAAAGCACACGCCATCGACATAACTCCTTCGTACATCTAAGTTAATTAATTTGTCACAAAAAGTGATATTTCTATCGCTAGAAAAGTTATCAGATAGCTTGAAAAATTCCATAGAAGAACGATTAAGATTACACTCGTGACAGATATTTCTGCAGTATAGTATTAGCCCCAGGAATTTTTTTTATTTGAGGGCGCCCTTTCAGACAAAAGACAGAAACTTATGGAAGATTAATGGGTTGCTCTGCCACCACTTCTTCAAACTCAGCAAATTGCTTTCGTGCTAATTTTGCTATAGGTAAGTACAGTTAAACTCAAAAATTCTACTGAAAAAAAAAGAATTTGGTGTGGATTACGATACAAACTCTATCGATTGTGAACTATCAACAATCATCGTTATGCCAAGTTTGAGATAAATCACGCTATGAGCAACTTACTGGATGTATGAATCCTCCAGGAACTCGTATTCCTTCGACGCAGGTTCTCCGGCTGGGATCTTACCAAACTGACTCTCCATCTTATGCAAAATCGAACTAGCTGAAGTTTGGCTAAGTTCCAAAGCATCTTCGACATCCCCCTAAAGTCACAAAGAATTGGTCAAAATAAAAACAAATTTGATTTACTTACAAGCTGCTGCAAAGCTAAGATTTTCACAGTATCAGTTGTGAGCGCTCGACGATTCCAGACAGCTGCATACTGATCAAGTTCGCCCAATTCAGAGTAGAGAGAGCGAAGATAATCCAGTACATCCTAGAGAATCAAAGCAATGTATAGTTCCGGAAAAATATCAAAAAATAAAAATCACAGACCAGTTGTTCTCTGACTATTGGGTCTATCGGTTGTTGCATACAAGCAGCATTATTCAGCATCCTTGGTATGCACAAAGCTTGGTTTTCCAAAAGCAGGATACCCCGATGCCATGCATGGTAATGGTGAGCGACAAACTGTATAAAAAAATTAAATATAAAAAATAACTAGAGTAAGAAAGCAGAAAATGAATTATTGAGAAAACAAATAATGGAAGGTAGATAAAGTTTGTGATTTTATGGAACATACCTCAACGGGTAGAGGACCGATATGAATTGGAGGATTACATCGAGCAAAAGTTTCCAGGAAAATGCTAATAACTGGATGCACTGCATGTGCTTGCTGCACGTGAACTCCAGAAGTCATAAAAGGAACTGCTAGCCCTAAACGGATACTGTAGTGAAGGAGCGTATAAAAACTCGCATCCCACCTCCAAGAAAACTTCTTTCTTCGTCACTCATAGAGACCCATAGGGAGTTGAAGAGTTGTGAAAACATATCTCCCACAAAAGCCACATCATCTACAGACATAATAATAGAATTGAAAGAAGAAGACAGATGTAGAGACTCCAACAGAGGAAAAACAAATTATTGAATTTACTTCTTTGTCATTTGTGAATTAAGTTGAAATTTGACAAGGCCAAAAAGGAACTACAAAAATGAAACTTGCGTAGCATTTCTAAAGTTTTCGCTATATACGCCATAAAAATGGCACTTTTGTGGATGGAAGAAATCGAATGCTGCTCTGGACACGTATTATGTGACTACGAACCTTGCACAGTGAATACAAGTCCGATGATGCTATCGACGGCGGCGGAAAAATCAAACGAAGAAGCTTCTATCATCAAACTTTTCTGATCGTCGAGTAATACGTCCAGCCGATTCTCCAGATTGTCACCAGTGTTCCCCTGATCAGTTTCCATAGCTTCGTCTGCTTTAGTCTCACCCTAGATAAAAAATCATATAAGCCCCATTTTTTGAACCAATACGCCAATAAGAATTTAGGTCACTTACTTGAGAGGAGTTTTCAACTAGGTATATGTGAAACAACAGAGGTAATTTAAAATACATGAAGTCTGTTTACTCTTGCTATACTGTTTTCCTTTGAAGAAAAATCCCATGATGTCAATTTTACTTTCAAGCAAGTATGCCACAGTTCCGGATTATCACGAAAAAAAACACGCCAGAAATGAAAAGATATAGCAAGGAGCTCGCAAAGAAAACTGGTTTCTTTGCACAGAAATCTTAGAGACTTTTGAGTTGTTTTCACAAAACAAATTCAAGACTGGAGCTATTGTGACGTTCCGTATTTTTTTTCTTGACTTCAATCCTTGTACGATATTCACTATTGAAACATGTCTCATATTACTTGGAGGTTCGTAAAGCAAAAAACTAAAATTGAAGGCAGCGTCCGGGCAGATTTGAAAATAAAAAAATGGTAGTAGCGGCTCGTCAGAGACAATGCTTCGCATCAAGACTCATCTCGAACTTCCACTCAAAAGCGTCACAGTTTCAGAAGCTCAGCCAGCAGCCCTGTCGTGGGTGTAGGCCGAACATGCCCGCCCATCTACCGATTTCAAACTGCAAGTTAGAGCGCACATATCGCACATTGCAGGACCATCGGGTCACACAGCGACTCAGCGTCTTAATCTGGGCGGTCTCCGTGTCCACAGCCCACCCGTTTTCCGGATTTTCACCGTCCCCAGGCTGCATTTTGTGAATCACTGGGAGGCCCAGGTAAGCGTCTTAGATCGAAGTTTTGCCCCGACGCTGCCTTCGAGCTGTTCATTCGCGCGATACTAACGATTTTCTATTCATACACACCGAAAGGTGCAGATTGGTGTCCAAAGCTTGCGCAACAACCTCGGGTTCGACATCAGATGCCAGATGTGATGAACGTAAACCAGCTACCGCAAGCATAGTTCTCCATAGTGTAGCAGAACTGTCAATAAACACTCGTCGGTGAGTTGAGCCGGTGTTTCCTGAATTTGTATATTTGATTGCCGGAGTTTAAAAGATTAAACTCTGCAAAGCGTACCAGAAGTGGGAATGCATCTCAACAACAACCATAAAGCATGACGAAGCCAGAAATAGTCACGGAAGGGTTCCCAGTCCTTTTCGCGCAAAATGTAGGATAGCCGAGCAAGGGGATTAACCACCAAATTTCGTTCAAAAACGAGAAGGAATTTCTCTCGTAGCTCTCGATCCTAAAAGTGATTAAAAACCAAGCAAAAAAACAAGAAAAAACTCTCGCAAATTTTTTTAGTAATAATCTCCATTCAACACCCTGTCCGCAAAAAAACGCAAGCGTAAATACGGCCATAAGTCACAAAAATTGTAAATTTGGTATATGAGTAAGCAACCTACATGTGTGGTAAGGCCCCAATGAAAAGCATCCTCGAGCTTATCAGCATAATCAGACGTTAGCAAGAGCGGGTGCTCGAAGACGAATAGCACGACTTTAAGAAACATTTTCATAAGCTCTCCGTTTAATCTAAACATAGTATATTGCCAAAAATTCAAAAAAGCTTTATGCCATCTACCTGTATCTTTTCTCCACAACGCTTTGCAATCGCACCAGTAGAGGAAGTCCAGGATTTGCTGAGTGCTGAAATAGAAATAGTCCACGATTTTACGGAACTTTTTGAAAGAAACTGACCTCATCACGGTGGGTGACTACGAGCTCTGATACTACACGAAGCACAACATCTATGATTTTCTCGAAAGATGATCGCTCGATGAGAGGAAGGAGTACATTCTGGCATATAGTCCTCTTAGCTTCCGCAGATATCGCTTCAATCCTAGGACGCAGTAGCTCCAGAGCCATCGCAATCATTTCAGCTGTTGCCACTAGAAAACATTCGTTTTTTGAACGCACCTACATTCAGTCTTCTCAAAAACGTACTTTTTTCTCTGGTAGTTTCTCCTGGTTCGGTAACATGCAGGATATGCTCCCTCACCGCCTTTTCTAGCACCTAGAAATACTGAGGTCAACAAATATGACCACTTTTTTCAACTCCCTTCGATTACTGATATTATGAGCTGCTCAATGAACACAGTTCTGAACACAGTTGATGAAATGTGACAATAAAAACTGACCTTGATGTAAGCTTGCAGACACATTGCATCGAGGTAACCTGGCTGTTGAAGACAGATAACACGAAGAAGAGAAAAGGCAGAGAACGCATTCATTACCAGACAGGTTGGAGATCTGAAAAAGCTTATCAAATCAAGTCAATTTGATTACTACAAATGGAAAACCTTGATAGCGTAATGAAAAAAATTTTACTGTAAGTGATTCACTCAATTAGTTATCACAGATGATGATCCCAAACTGAAGAACATGGAAAATCTTGATTTGAAAATAGCTGATGATATAAACGGTAATTTTTTTACTCACTTCACGTAGGAATTGAAGTTGTCGTTCAGATATTTTGAGATGAACTGGTTTAGAATCTCGAACTCGTACATGCCAGTCATAGAGCAGTTGGATTTTTCGAACAGTTTAGCAACGAGTACATTCACCAACCGAATGAGCTGCAACATAGCCCAATTACAGAACATTCATAAAAACCTCTGAAAAAAAAAACTTTACCGCTCCATGTCCACTGTTCAGGCAAGAGATTATAGCCCTCTGGATTGGGCGGATTGTTTGGAGCAGCAAAGGCTTCGGCTATAATCGTATGTCTCAAGCTTTCTCGCGAGCCTTAGACTGTGCACATACCATAATTGTCACAAGGTTTATAACAACTTCCAGTGCTTGTTGTGCTTGAGCGATTGACTGAGCTAATTGTGATTGGTTTTCTTGCCTCACAAGAGACTCAGGGGGAACTGTGAGCTCTTTTTCAAGCCTAAATACAGAGGTTTTAAAACTTTGTTGCTGAATTCAGCGATTGTATGGTGAAGTACCGACCAGCTAACTTTGATGGTCACAACATCACCCCAAACTGCAGACTTCAGGCACTGTTTCATTAGTCCTATACTTCGTTTTCCATTTTCAAGGGTTGCCTGGTGTAATTGATGCGGTTGTACAGGTGATGTGGGCTACAAGCATATCAGCCTTTTAGTCATCATTCTCAGTAGATCGGAAAGTCAGAAATACCTGTATTGCAAATTTCAAAAGCATGGCAACAACTTCATCAACACATTCCTTTGACATCTGTTTGTATAGCTGATCGTCAAATTCGGCTAAAAAGAGAAAACTGAAATAATAAGAAAATGCTGCAAGAAAACTGCTTCTCAGCGTATACTACCGAAGTCGTTAGATATGCTTGTCAATGTTTTACGCATTTTTTCCACCGATTTCTAGAGCTCTTGGGACTAACAATAAGAGATGAAAATAATTTCGAACAAATTGCGATGGGCATAGTGATTTGCTGTGCATCAAGAAAATCGTGGCAATCTTTATTAGGACTACCCATGTTTGAAGTTTCTACGATCAAACGCTGCGAGCTTAGAGAAAGTGTTTGCGTGAGTTCTGAGTAGGTGATAAAAAACAGAAATTATCAAAAATCTCAGAACCAGAAATCTTTCTTGAAGAGAATTATCGGGCCTCATTTGGTGACTACCCCGCCCCTCCACAAAAATTTCTGAGGCCTTAAAGGTCACGGAGGCTGAACTGCTGTTCTCTTATGAATGCAAGTCCGGATTGTGCAATGTTTTACGCATTTTTTCCACCGATTTCTAGAGAAATTGTTCGCTGTTCGTAAGAAATTGTTCAAACAGCCATACATACCACAATAAGACTCGCCTGTTGACACCGCTGTATGTCGTGACGCTTCCGAGTCATTTAGTAGAGTATCAAGCTGTGAAAAAAGTAGTATCGAACTCAGACTCGAATGATAATTGACATGAGCTAACCTCATCATCATGGGATGTTAAACCCTGCGTGAGCAGCTCCACTTTCTGCAGTCTCAATAATTCCCATTTTATCACCATCTCGCAGACATCCAAGGCTAACTTCCTGGTCATCACGCTAAAGATATTAATTAGTAATTAAAATTTCATTGGTGATTACATACCCATCCATGGCAGAATTAGGAGTGCTGATCACACGGCGTATGGCACTCATCAGAGGTTTGAACAGAGCATGGCGACAAGTGAAATAAGCACGATAATTTCGTACAATCATGCTCCTATAACACTTACTATTCGGAGTCATCCAAAAAACACTAGAAGATTCTTTTTGTTGAGCGTCACATGTAATTTTATTCTCTATTTTTATTTTTAATTGAAAAACGCGCTTTCATAAAACGACAACGTTGGAGTGTCCCAAAAGAACTTGACAACTCACACAATATGCTGTATATGGGCAAGGCTGTGAGCTTCTTCACACAGTACTCGTTTCACATTGATGAACATTTGCTGATGTCCATCTTCCATTCTTATTGGCATAGCCGCCGTCACTACATCGGCAGCACGTCGTACGAGTTCGCGACTGTCATACTGATACGATCCACAGAGACTTTGGAACACCTGAGAGTTTAGAAATTAATAGAGGCTTTCAATTACGTTTTCTACATGTCAAATTACTCTCACCTGCAGTACGATCTTCCTGTTGATTAGGAACTTTTGGCAGATATGCGATATGAAAAGAAATCCGGTGTATCGAAGCGTTGCATCTTGTCTGTTGGATGCTGTCAGGCACGACCAGGCAAACAGCATGAACACTCGCAATCGCCAGCCATGTTTTCTTAATGAAAGTTAGTCTCAGCATTTAATAAAGGGAAGGTCGCGGTCGCGATAGTGAGCGTCATAAAGAAGGGATTTGGTTGGCTCAAGGTTTGTTCGCATCTTTATAAGTCCTCATGAAAAGAGAAGATCATGCGCTTTACAGTCACGTTAGCTTGTTTATTTACGCCCATATCGAAGATACCGGAAAAGAAAAATTATTAAACTTTTCCTTTTTTTGAACATCAAAAATCTGAAAGCGGAAAACGAGAGGCATCTAGTTTTTAACAATACTACTTGTTCCATTTGACTGAATATTACCGGTGATCAAGGGTTCACACGGAATCATGGATTATGAGCAAGCAATGAAGCAGGAAATTTGACAGGCAATTTTCCCAACTAATGTCACTCCAGTAGATTTTGGACAAACCATGTTTGTTAGATGGACAGGTCCAATGGCGGATCCAAGGAGGTGCAGAGAAGGGTTCGGAGAGGGAAGAGCGGGGGGGGGGAGAAAGAAGGGGTCGCGAAATTTCGAGTTACTTACATGAGTTATAAAAATGCGCAATGATTTCTTTACACTTTAATCAATTGAAATAATTCTTGAAATTTTCCAAAAGTTCAAATGAGCTTTGTAAAAAAATTGCGGGGGTCATAGACCCACAAAAGAATGGGAAGCACCCCAAAAAATTTTTCGGAGTGCGTAACTGACACCTCCATGCGAAGAAAATCCCCCCCCCCCCCCCGCCCTCCCCCTCTGAACGGAAGTCCTGGGACCACCACTGAATAGGTCAAATAATCTTACGTTACTAACCTTTCATTGGCTTAAGATTTTAGAAGAATAAATTCTAAGTAATTCCCTATTACTGCTTCTACTTGCGATGCATAAAATGATAGGTTAAGGTGACTTTATGTAGCGCATAATAATCTTTTACAAAAAGAATTCATGGAAATCCTCTTGGGTAAGAAAACTATGTATCTTGGTGCGAACGAACTTTTGAGCCAACCCAATGGATGTCACAACAGCTCCTAGCAAGAAAAGAAAGTTTGATAAACTCGACTTACTTTGAATCATTATTATGTACGTGACGAGGTGCGTATTTGACGAGCAGGGTACTGAGCTGATACAAAGCTATCACAATGCCATCGCTCATGACTTGGCGACTTTGGTCGATAATCTAAACAAAAAATGGCATAGAAGATGCTGTATAAATTATCCTTGGACATGAGAAAAAACTGGAAAAGTGTCTGAAACCCTCTGTAAAAATCTTACATGGGCTAGTCGATAGACCAAATCATCAGGATCCATTTCCGGTTGATCCTGTGGGTTTTGCAACACACCCAAGATCTGTAACGAAAAATTTTACTTCCGGCTAGTCAAATTTGATTATTAATTTACCTCATCCACATTGTATCGCTCAAATGCCCACTGTAGACTTGGAATCAGCACATATTGTAGAATCTTTACATACAGGAGATCTTTGATTACGGTTGATCCACCAGCTTCAAACTTCTCTAACACAAAAGAAAACAATTTTCTCCTCCACTCCATTGAGTATGCCTAAACAAGGAAATATAATTGCCAGCCCCATGCTACCAACTGCGCATACCGGAATCACTTCCTTTTCGAGGAATTCTCGAACGAAGCTAAAATCTGTCACATAGCGACCGATAAATACGAAAAGGATGTCGCACAGGAGATCCAGATCATTATTATTGTGCCTAAAAGTACCATGATATGATTGAAACGTAACAGCAAACAAACTATCTTACCTATAATATCGAATGAAGCAATTGACAATAAGTCTGGGGACCTTGTACTTGTGTTCGGTCATCATTTTGATGGTCAGTTGAACGAGATCCTTGTCGCACGGAGCATGAACTACGTAACGAGATTTGAATTCTCCATTGTTCCACAACTAAAAACGCAAAAAAGTGGTTGACCTATATGGGAAAGATGAACAAGCAACATGCTTTTGATCGAGGAAGGACAAAATCTCTTTTTTAATTTTAAGACGTCGATTTAGCAATGTGAAGTAGTTTCTTTAGATTCAAAACTAAGCAGATGTAAAAGCATCATCGCCAAATTTTCTTCAGAAAGGATGATTGTATGGTCAGTGCCTTGCGACGCCTAAGACACATACCATACTTGATTCACTTGATCCGCTTGTTCCACTTCATCGACTTCGCTATAGGTCAAATTAATGAACTGACCAATAACGAAGCGGATGAAGTGGATGGGCATCCGCCTGTGGGTCACTTCACTGATTTGACCAATAGCGAAGTGGATCAAGTGGACCAAGTGAATAAAGTATGGCGTGTGCCTAACAGATTCCGCGGTGGTTGCTTATTAAGTCAAAGTTGCCGCATCGTCGGTTTTAGGTATACGGACTATAGCTTTGACTTGATTACCGTGCTGTCAAGGGCCTCCTACCTTCACCGCACTTGACCTAATAAGGACTGCTGCACAAAATTATCAAAACAAATGAAACAAACCAACCTCGACTCTAGCGGTTATCGACAAGTCCGTACACCTTTATGGTAACGGACGTCACTGCATCACACAGTGACTCAGAGTCTCTTATGTGCAGACTAAGCTTAATAACCATATGAATGAGCTAAGTCAACAGCGACTGACAAACAATCATTTTTGCTAATATTTCTGGATCATTGACCAAACATCATGCTGCTCCCCAAGTTCCTTTCCTGTGCAAATCTCAGTCAAGCAGATCAAAATTGTACATTTCACACATCAGTTACGATAGGAGTTCTAATGCTGTGTCGTCTCAACGTGTCACCAAAGTCCCCTTGCCTTTTGCTAATTTCTACAAATGGCAAGAATGAGTGTTTATCACTGATTATCTTTGATGTTAGATCTATTCATATCGTTATATAGACTAGGTACCGTCCATAAAAAATCCTGGCTCACTGACTACAGGCATTGAAAGGCGTACACACTCTTCAAATACTGGTAAGATGGGAAATATCTTTGCACCATTTTAAGCAAGTTAAAAAAGCGAGCTCATTTTCAGATGTGAGAAAGAAGAAAAAGTTCGAAAGTTGGGAAGTACTGACGGCGGAGCTTGGCTGACATGAAGAAAAAATACTGACATATCACAGTCATCTGCTTTGCTGTTTGTGCTGATAGCTCTAGCAACTTAAAATACATTTACGTGTTGGTTTCTTGAGCCCCACCTGTCTGAGCTTGAGAATAAGCTCCTTCGCACCAGCAAACCAAAGAACATTCCTTCTGGAGACAGCGTCGATGATGTGCAAACAAAGCATTTCACGCTCCATTATGTCATTCTCGCTTTGATGTGCATCAGATGCTTCTTTCCATTCACCTGATGGATCCTGCAGAGCACTATGTGCAGATCATGCACATAAACTCAGATGTACGTACCATGACTTTGTTCTCAAGCATATTGTTGAAATATGTCGAATCCTCCATCAACAGTGCACGTAATGGACTGCATTCCTCGTCTTTGATAAGCTTTCTAAGCAATGCTCTTCTGCAAGGCATGGCTAGGGATTCTTCGGTCAAGAAGAAAGCCATCGATTCCCGAGCATATCGTGAGAGTAGTGTGGCTAGTGGTGGTACCCAAGCATCGTAGGACTGAAACAGCTAGGCATTTCGATCACAAAATTTTAAATCTCCTAAGTAATCGTGGGCTGCGTCAAAGCTGCCCGTGCCAACGCCGTGCTAGCGGAGCCCGGCGACGGTCAATTAACATGCAGTGCGTAATATGGCACGCCTCTGGCACACGAGCGACTCTGGGCGCAACCTTGAAAGCCAAACACTCACACTTGTGCAGTAATGATGATCAAAGTAAGCTATAAAAGCAGCTAAATCAGTGGCTAGTTTGGGAGCTGGGGAATCCACGAGCAGTATCAACCGGACAGCCTGGGTGATTGCTTCTACATCTTGTCCATCTATTGGAGGAATAGAAGAGGCAGCCATATCAACAGGGAGACGTGATGCATGTTCGCAGATGTATGACTATAAAAATATAAGAATTTTGCAAATTTTGAGTATATTTTTGAAAAAGCTTACCACCAAATTTGTAGCCAAGGTAATGTCGAATAGCGAAGTATTTAAACGCACTAGGCGATAAAGTTGAGCTACACTTTCGGAATTCAACCCTTCACCTTGGGGTTCGCGGAACTGAGCAAAAACGTGCTCTCCAACTCTTTTCAAACATTCGGCATTGACGGGAGCCACCTGCAAAGAAATGCTATTAGGAGAGGAATTTTTCGACTTTGAGTCAGACCTGTAGAAGAGCTTCTTCAGCCGCTTGTACTACAGATTTCAATGGACACAAGACGGTTTCAACAGCAACGCAAGCAATTTTGCAAAGTGTCACTCTGCCTTCTTCACCGTCACCTGCTTCAGATGATGTATCCATGCCATTTTCAGAGACGTCTCGCAAAAGCGATTTGTACAACGCCACCAGCGCTCCTAGAAAAAATACATAAAGTTGAGACCTTTCAAGATAAAATCAGGTAGCGTGTAAAATCAGAAACAATAATTAGACTCCAAATGCAGATCACTGCAAAAGCAATTAAAAACTCACTGACAGCCATAATTTTATAGTGCTCAGCTTTTTCGCTGACAGTATGCGGAGGCAAGAAATGTGCAGGACATCCTTCCATAGATTTGAAGAGATCACTGCCAAGTAAGCATGATAATTTACTGATGACTTCGGGAGCAACTCCTTACAGTTCAAGCATTTCGCTAATAGGCATCTGACACACGGTAATCAACTCGTTCAAGAACTTCTGTGTCCTTTCCAGTCCTATTGACACATCAACAAGAGGGGGCTGGCAGACGAAAATGGTGCACAGTGCTTCTAGAGAGCCACAACGATCGAGCAGGGCCAAGACATTGAATTCTTCCATTGCCCTTTCTGGAAGAATCGTTAGTCTCAACTATATTCCAACATAATAATATTCGTGACGCAGTATTTTCGAAAAATGGTCTGGGATTTTATTGAGCTACAACTAGCATGCAGAGGATCGAATTCAGTAAAAATTCACAGGTGGGTGATCTTTCTATTTCTATGTTTGACTATAATCAAGGTCTTTTTCGACAAACGGTATCCAGACTAATCTGGATGTCGAAATTCACAAGTGGATACCGAATTGAATAACTAAGTACTGCAGTGCGACAGCTCAATTGGTTTCAACCCCTCCCCCGCTACCGTAATCAAGTACGCTGATTGGTTGGCTTGCACTTACGATAAAAATCAGAGTTGGATTTCTCTTCTACGAATACAAATTAGCCAGTCACTATAAGAAAACCAGTAACAGTTTCAAACACTTCTTCAGAAAGAATTTATCAAGATAAATTGAGCCATCAGCTACCCAAGGCTAATGTTTCAATGCTTTTGAAACAAAAGCATACTAACTAAATCTCCAAGATTCCACAGTATCATTCTTGTAATTTAATCCACTTATAGTGCTATTTCAAACTTAAGGCAGCAGCAAGCTAACCTGTGTGTGACACAAAGAGGTGCCTGTAGGCGTACATCAAAGCAGGAAACGGCTCTTTCAGCACATCCGCACATAGATTGAGCAAAGAGAGGGTCTGTAAACAGAACATATACGGTTACTGTCTTGAGAAAGGTGGAGATTCGCACCTTTTTCCTAATATTCTGGCTACCACTAAACAGCTGACTGGCAACAGAGTTCATGAATATTGATACTTTTGGATCATCAAGCTTGCAATCCTAAACACAGAAACTTTTTGATGACAGAAACTTTTACGAGCGACGAACCGCTAAGCATCGTTTCAACAACTTTTCAATGGCTCCTACTGCCATATCCACAGCACCACAGGATACCTGATCGGTCATACCGACAAGAACCTAAGTATCGAAATTTCAAAGACAATAAATGGTGAAAAACCAACCTCTACAAGACTATCCATGAATCTGCTCATATTAGCTAGAATTACAGAATCAGGATAATTCTCTATGAAATAAGTCAATCCGCTTGCTCCTCCAAGTCGTACAAACCAAGAAGAGGCATAACAAAGCGCGCTAACGCTTTCTAGGAGATACCGCACAAATGGTATCAAAGGCATCTAAACATTCTGTTTCAATGACCATTTCATCCTCCAATAGCTGAGATTTTGAAACCCACCACTTCCAGATTTGGAATGATTACCCTGCACACATCGTTGATGTGGCGAAGAGCAACGATCGCCGACTGGCAAAAATCTTTCGTAGAATCGGAAAGTGCTGTCACGATTGCATCAACAAGAATTCCACCATCCATACACTGTGCACAATTGTCCATGGACATTAGAGAAGCTCGCCCTGAAGTTGTTCCACATGCTTGCATATACAACTTTTGCACAAGAAGGTTTGACCAATTTTGTCGAGTAGGCAAACGCAAGAATTGAAAATGCTATGTTTCAATTCTTCAACAAGCAACTATTTACCATTTGCAGCCGTAGAATCGAAAAGTTAAAAAGTTACACGCTTAATTTTATATTACACCTATACCACTTCTAGAAATTCCGCAACCCATTCTCAGAAGTGGGGGAGGGGAGGGGCTTTTTCACAAAGCTATTACCAGATTGTGAGGAGGAGCGCTTCATTCAATGATTAGAACCTTATTTTGAATCAACTGAGATTGGATATTCACCTGGCTGCAGCGCTTCATCTTTTTTGAGTGGTAGGATCGCAAAAAATTTGATAGGCATCACAGAAAGTTTCCCGAAAAATTTCATTGTTTGCCACCCTCCACCTCGTAAATTTTCATAAGCGCCACTAGTATCACCTACCACTGAACTCGAGCAAAGCCTGCAGGGTTAGATAACGAATGGTAGCGTTGAAAAACTTGATATACTTGCTGCGAAGATCCTTACCAACGATGCCACCTGTAAAACGTTTACCGTAGGCAACCAGTGGAAAACGCTGTATACTCACAAAACAAAATCATCAATGCGTCAGCATGAAGGGAGCGATCACCCTCCCTCGAACAGCGATAAGCTGTACATCCTTTAGGGGCACTATCGAGACGCTAAAATCGCAGCAAACCTTTTAGTTCAAGTAAAAGCGAAGCTTTCTGAAAATGCTCGCCTTGAACTGCTCCCTGAGAATATCCTTCAGCTTCATTTTCCATTCATCTGTGAGATCAACTGGTCCCATGCTGCAAAGCATTATCGACCGTGCCAACTCCATAGCATATTGACGAACTTGTGGAGAGTAATGCGAATGCGTAGAATCCAGTCTAACGTAAAATTTTGATGGGAAAACAAACAATCACATTTATTTCGAACTAACCGCATTTGCTTGAGCGCAGTTCTGACAACTTCAGTGAGAGAAATATCACCATAGATGGTCGTGAAGAACGTCTCTCCAGTATTTGGTCGATCAAATGCAACTCGTATTGTATATGGAGGTTCATCGCCACTGGGACGGAATTTCAGATTCTTCAAAAAATTTTGACAGTAAATTATTCTTAAAGTTGCTTTTCCTCAAGATTTTATATTACAAAAACTAAAAAATGAAAGCTTGTAAGAGTAGGTCGACGAATTGAACGCAAGCGTTTAGATACTCTTTTAGAACCATAACAGCACCGACGACTAGCTGCTATGTACAGGAACAAAAAAATAAGATTACCACTTCGTATATAACGTGCCAAACCGGAAAATTTGCAAATTTTTAGAGAGCCCCAAGCCCCTAGCAAAACTACTTGCAAACAAGAAACCTCCCAAGAAGTGTTTATAGTATTATCCCAATTCAACTCCTCCAATAAGTTTACGATCGTCAATGCTTGGAAATCTATGCTAATCTGTAGAACAACTCATTCCCAAAACCATGCGAGGACTGTGACAAGACTCGAAATTTGAGAAAAATGAGAAGAGTAAGAAATGGAACCATGACATCAGCGTTTGAACAGATATAAGGAAAAGAATTTTGTTAATAAAGGGACATCTGGCAAATACTGCACCACATTTTTTCAAATCTCAAGTGATTTACAATTTGGGGGGGGGGGGGGCAATCTTACCAAAAAAGCTATTGAATACCTACAAATCATTTTTCAAGAACAATTGTTGCGTGATTTTTTTTGCATTTTAGAATACTGTAACGTTGCTGGATGTATTGTGCTACAATCTAAACTTACCGGAGGCTCCGTAAACATGTTCCGATTAGCACCGCCAAACTTCCCCAGTACTCTGACGGCGGTGGCTACAGAAAGAGGATCTCCAGACTTGCCGACGACTTTATACAGCCCTAAATCGAGCAGTACTAGTGACTACATGCGAGAAGATTAACTTTAGTACGAGAATAACAATAACAACCTTGCATCATGCCTCCACGTACTGGTGAAAAATTATCAAATAGAAAATCAGGCTGGAGGTTGTCTACGCAAAGCTCGAGTGTACGCAGTCCTAAAAATTCCAATTTTTTGCTAAATGAATTCTTCTCATACATTGTACCTTGCTGAACAAGATTTGGTCCGCCGTTGAGAGCACAAACTAAAGGTTCCATCAGCAACGGGAGATGCGGAAGTAGAGTAGATAACCGTACTGGTACCGTCAAACATAACTCGACAAATAGTTCGCGCATCATTTGACGATGATCGCACCACTAAAAACTATCACTAAAAAAGTATGTTACGCTGTTTCCAAGAGATACCTGGAGTTTATTGAAGAACAACATGAGATCGGGCAAAAGAGGAAGAAATTGTGAATACAAAATATCGTGCAGCCCTCCTCCTATAGATCTGAATAGTGCTCGTAGAAGCATGAAGTAATTGATAGGATCTCGAGCACACAAGGCGTATTCCATCGACTTGCGTATCAACTCAGGCAGATATGGCTGCAACAGTTCGTTAGAAGAAATTTCACGATCCACGATTTTCACCCACCTTTAGCATTATCTCACCATCAGGACTAGCCGAGTTTTGACAGCCAATCGCGGAAAAAATAATTTTGAAGAGTTTTACATAGAGCTGGGATACATCGTTCATCACTGAAATGAGCATAGAGAAAAATTTGACACTATATTTGAAAGTTCTTACCAGCTAGGGAAGGAAGTCGATCCATCAAATATTTTACAATTATGCAACCAAATCTAAAGGATACATCTGCTCGTACGAGGAAAGCATTGCATGCCAGCTGCAGCGGAAGATTTCTGCAAGAAGAGAACATAAGAAAAATGGGAAAATCAGCGGCTGAAAAGTTAAGTAAATACTCTTTGTTATTGTTTAGACATAATTTATCAGTACGCTTTAGTACACAGAAACATCATGGAAAATAGTAAAATCAAAAGTAAGACACACTTTGCCATCCGCACAACGAAGAAGTCCATGTACTTGGTGAAAATCTCTCCAAAGACGTCCAAATTCAGCATAGTAAACTATAATACAAAAATATGTACTCTTTAAAAATCTCAGCCGAAAATATTACCAATGATGCCAGAGCGTCAAGTGCATCTTTCTCCTCCTTTGATCGCGTACCACCGGGCACACTGGAAGATGTACTAAAGGTCCAAGCTAGCTGAGTTCATCAAATTCACCAACCTATTCGGTACTTGCACCCGTGAAGGAGGCTGAGGATACGGGATCATATAAACATCCAAACACTGGACACAGTACTTGAACATTCTTTCAAAGATATCTTTCTCGTGGACCAAAGGAGGCGACTCTGCAAGAAGAAAATACTCTTTAAAGGCAGTGTCCGGGCAAAAACTCGATTTTGAGATTTTGTGCTTATAAGGGCCTATTCGCCATGCTGAATCCGAAAATCTACATTGGAAAGCGCAAAAACGGCGAAAAAGGGCTCTAACACACGAGGGAAATCAACAGGTGGGCGGGGCTTTCCCCAGTGCGATTTCACGCTCCCAGCTCCCGGAGCGATTTTCTCGATCCCGCTAGCCATCCTAACATCGCTACGGGCCAAGTGCGAATGATTGACTTGAAACCGGAAGCGAGAAGGTCGCTCCGGAAGCCGGGAACGTGAATTCGCAGTGGGGAGGACCCCGCCCACCTGCTCATTTCCCTCCTGTGTTAGAGCCGTTTTTCGCCATTTTCGCGCTCTACAATGTGCATTTTCGAATTCAGCGTAGTGAATAAGCCCAAATAAGCACAAAATCTCAAAATCGAGTTTTTGCCCGGACACTGCCTTTAAGGCCGTAAAATAGTATTTGCAAGTTTTTTGAAGAAAATTTTATATACAGGGTGTCCCAAAAATATGTATCGAACGTTTGATCGTCAATATCTCTTTTCCCAAGAAGTCTTTTGCCTTGCTTCAGGTACCGTTTTGTAGAGCTGGCTTCAACTTAGATTTGCATTATAGAACGAATCACCGATCTCTCTTTATTACTGTAGGATTACGGTAGAAACTTGAAACATATGGTGTCAATGTGGAAAAAACTGCCTTTTCGAAATTTTCAAAAACTTGTGAAAATTTGTGTATTGGGGTTTTTATGGACGTTGAGTTCAATACTCAACTATTCTCAAGATTGCGAAGCTTTCTAAACGGTGTAACCGCACTTTTTAGTAACATTAAAAAAATGGCCGCTACCTCTTACCTGGCATACTCTTCAATGAAACATCTTAATAAGTTGGGAACTTCACAGTTATAATCAGCAACTCTAATTAGCCTAGTGTAAAAGCTCTCAGGCTGTTTTGTTTCCTTTCTGAGGCAAAATATGGCCTTTCATTGCTTAAAACCCTCTTTGAAGTTTCTACCGTAATCCTACAGTAACGGAGAGAAATGGGCGATTCGTTCTATAATGCAAATCTAAGTTGAAGACAGCTCTACAGATTGGTACCTGAAGCAAGAGAAAAAACTTCTTTAGAAGAGAAATATTAACGATCAAACGTTCGATACATTTTTTTGGGACACCCTGTATATTTTGCCCACTGCCGGGTGATCACTAAACATTTAAATAGATAAAAATGAATGAAAACCAAAAGATGATCTACTCACGCGAGCTTCTATTGGCTCCAGCCAGAGCAGTCGTTCCCATCTTACACGCCAGCAATATAAACTTTACTATAGTCCTGGCTTCAGTCAAGGGTATAGGTGGAGCATTCATCGTATACATCTGAGTAAGAATAGTGCTAGGACTTGATTTTCTGTGTTCATTCTCCTTCGGCGGCGGTAGAGTGGGTTCTGGAGGTTTTGGTGGTTCTAGAATTTTTGACTATAGCTCATATCAAAATGCGGACCAATTTCTTTACCAGCAGGTCCTATTTCCATCTCAGGTGCAGTGTCAATTGAACATCTGCGAACTTCTTCTCGTATAACATCATCGCCCTTTTCGTTCTCCACAGCCTCCGATCTGAGCAGAAAATTTGAGGTATAAGATTATTACTAAATTATTAAATATACCCGTCCCGATCACAAGATTTGTAGTCATAGTTGATTTCTGCAGCATGTTGCTTGAACAGCAGTGGAAGGTGATAGACAGCAATCATCTTCAGCTTCACAACAAGACTTTCCAAAATCATAAGGATGAGATCACGGGTCTGAAAAATTGGGCAAACTGCAATTTGTGGTAACACAAATCTCCAAGCATATTTTTTAATTTTTTTTTCTTTCATAAACAACTTGGCAAATGTGCACAACTTCGTTTATCAGTCAAAGTACGCTGCTGTCCCATATCAGAAATCACTTTCAGAACCATGCAAGATAGAAACGACTCTATTAGTTTTCCAGATTCAAAACTTATAATAACTCGCTGCATTTTTGTGAAATAAATTCCACTTACCGCTTCTCCTTCTTTCGCATGCTTCGTCAACCCCTCCAGCACACTGCTCAGCATTCTAGCACATATGACTTGTATCTGAAAGACAAATGAGGATACCACCTTAAATCAACTTTGACATCACAAACCTGGTATGGCAGAAGATTATCATGCATTTCTCTGCAGAAGACAAAAGCCACACTGAAAGAATGAGTAAAGAAACGTATGAGATAGTTAAGAAAATACACTTACTGGGCAAGCATCTCGAAAGAGAGGGACGATCGTACATGGTGAAGAAAATCAGCCATAGTTTGATAAAAATAACCCCTGGAATGAACATTCAGAATTTGCACTATACAAATTGTATGAAAAACCTGAGATGATCCACTGCTGTGTATCCAGAGCCAATAAGAGCGACTTCAGATAGCAGCCGAGGTAGAAGCTGGATAAACTTCGGGCGGAGATCAGAGATGAAGAAGAATTTCAGTGTGATCAAAACATCCCTGAAATTTGTGTGGTGCTTGAGGAAATTCGCAATTTCAACTCACTTCCTAACAACAATCAGTTCGGCTGGACATTGTTCTAGGAGGCTGAGTACACCGTTAATAAATCTGTCTCCATTTGCCAAGATCTGCTCCATGAACTAAAGACAGAATGTTTTGGTAAGATGGAGCAAAGATTACGAGGCATCAAAAGTAACTTACTTCACGTATCTTCCCCATTATGCTCAGATAAGCAAGCATTTTCGACTGCGCAGTGTAGAAATCATCCGCTAGCGTTTTGTTATACTTTTCATCCGCTTTTTGTTCAGCGGATATTTGTATGCTAAGAAAGTCGAGGCAGCAAAGAAGAAACTCCATGGCCTGAAATTTGAGTATTGGTAATCCTTAGAAGTTGACCCTCCTGGAGGGCACAGATAAAAACCGTACCTCTGCTTGAACTCCTGCCTTATGATGCTGGTACAAGAAAATGACCAACATTGGGATTTCTTGGAAAGTTTTCAATGACTGACTAGCTCTCGGTATCAAAGTATATTTCTGAAAATAAACTAGCTTTCATAGCAATAGCACAAAAAAAAGTATTTTCCTTACCGGGGCATCCATAGCTCCACTTGGAGGGTATAGCATCACCGACTGCACATAATAGCATTGTTGAAGGTACTGAATTGAAGAGATAATCTAATAGAGAAGATTTTTAGCAAGATCCCACCGATTCTATAACAGTCTCTTCCGGGAGCTGCACAGCCGGATGTGTGAGATCTATCGTATCAAAGGTATGAGGTCTCACAAGACAGCTACACATACATTTAATCCATTGCTTGAAATGCTGCAGCATAACTGACACCTGAAATATGGCGTGTGATGGAAGTTTGGGAGAAAAAATATAAAGAGTGACGAGCCTCTGGGATAAGATGGGTGCGCGTAATTTTACTATGATCCACCAAGATCTTGATAGCCAGGATAGCATTTTCTTCATTTTCCAGTACGATGATTCGCATCATCTGCTTCTGGATTTCCTTCGACATCTGTTTCACCGGCTCATAAGCTGATGTTCTGAGTATCATTTCCAGCATAGCTTTCCGCAAAGTCTAAAAACAAAAGCCAAACTTCAAAGGAGCTGGGGGGAAAAAATTGTCCACTTCACGCTCTTTGAAAGCACATCATATCATGAATACTTATCGATCTTGACAAAAAACTGTTGTGTTTCTAAGCATTCATAAACCGGAGTAACGCAACCACGTTTTATGTTTCATAATATGGTTTAAGCATTGGTTTTCAGCGAACGCTCACTTTTTAACACTGTGAAAGATAGCACATTGACTGTTAATAATAGAGAGAAAAAAAAGTCCCTATACAAGATTTCACTAAAAGCTCAACAGGACGAGAAAAAAATTAAACTCAAACAGCATGACTGCAAAAATAGTAAAACGTGTACCATTATTCCCACGTCAATATGAAGAATAACACTGTTTTTCAAGATATTTTTGGACACCCTTATAATCTTCACTTTTGAGCGAGTGCATGAAATGGCAAAGGTAAGGCTTCCATTGCAAGGCCTGGCACCAGCTGGGTCAAGCTATATATCGTTTTTGGGGCAAAAAGCAAAGGCGAATCGTTTTTGTGGCCGAAAAGATATAAAAATTGCGACGTTTGCAGTCGACGTTTCGGTTTTGAGGGTTTCTTACGTCTACGGTTCAGAGTCAAGGAGGACTTCGTAAAAAATTTTCAAATCAAAGGAGACTTCGTTTCGAAAATTCCCTAGTGCCAGCTCGCGCCGAGCCCTGTTTCACTGTCAGACAATCAAGCAACAAAGAGGATTTTACATGAGAGTGATTCATCGGACTAAAAAAAACATGCTTTGTTGCTCATGAAGATCTTTTCAGCAATGGAAGAAAAGCGCTACAGCGTGTTCAGAGTTGAATCTCACATGAAGCTTAATTGCAGAAAAAAATGAACTAGGTAAGGATGAATGACAAATGACGCCTTCACTTTTGATCAACTTTGAAGAAAGAAGTTCAAAATCACTGTGATCGGCAACAGATAAGACTAGTCATCTGAATACCACATCACCATGTGGGTTCGGGCACAAAAAAACGAGAAAGTTTTTTGGGTTTGATCTTTATACGCTGATCTGAGAAGAAAATTGGCCTTAAATAGTCTAGGGACTTCCTGAGCGAAGCAGAACGTAATCCTGCTCAGTTCTCGTATTTCAAATGAGTTTTGGCATGTGCTCTCTTTGGCTGATCGAGATGGTCAAAAAAACTGTGTGGTAATAGTGCCACTTTTGTACAGCCTACACTGTCAAGCTTCAAAACATTCGAGTATACAGCTTATCTAGAAAGTGGAAAGCCCGTTTGAGCGCTATTCCTGTAAAATAGCTTTAGGTTTTCTACAGCTGCTCTAACATGATAGGTAAAAGTACCAAGGAGCCTACACAAGGTAAGCAATTTCATGTACAAAACTCAACGTTCACCTCTTTTTCAATACTTCGCCAGTAAGCCGGAAAAAAACGGTGGACTGTAGATAGAATTTTAAAAAAGCGCAAAAAAGAGTCTCGTTTACGAACAGACAAAGCAGAGGTAGTATTTGCCATTAAAATCCACACAGAAGATATGAACGTTACGTTATGAACGTTATATACGTTCAAACGCAGTCCAGGAAAGTGATAGATAGAAAGCTACAAAAGTTGAGCAAGCATAGATTGAGCTATAGATTAGGCAACATCGTTATAAAACCGATATTCACCTACTGGCCCTGTAGTAGCATCCTACGTTTAACTGCGCAGAAGATGGCGCTCAAAATGCTGTTCAATGCAATTTCTTATGCATAAGAATTTTATTACGTCATTTTCGAATTTTTCATCAAAAAAATCAGACCATATGTCAAGATTTTTTTATTTTAATTTTCTTGTGCACAGTCTAGCAAGATCAGGGAAAGTTATGATACTTTATTGAATTCTTCGAATTGTAGTACTTCATAAAACTCTTCCGCTTTGATAATCAAAATTTTAGAAAATGATGAAAGACGCCAATGGTGGTCCTTAAAGGCAGCGTCCAGGCAAGATCCATCCACCCAATCAGCACATAGTTGTAAAGAGGGGCCCATGAGTACCCGATCTGCGTTAATCCAATCCTTTGACGTGCTCTCTAAAAAGAGATACGGGCCTGTGATACGTATCACAAGCCGCCCCTTCGTATCACAAACCACCCCTTAGGACGAGTGCTTACGCAGGTGTGCGGTTGCATTGCAGTTGCATTGCAGTTGCACTGCACACTGCAATGCAACTGCATCCGTGCAGTTGCAGCTCCTCCCGCTGGCATGACGATGGGGACGAGCAATTCGAAACTCGTCCGCTCCTTGAAGAGAGGGTCCCCAAGAACCGGGTATTTTGGGAGTTTTGAACAATTTGGACTTTACAACTGTAATCAGGGCCACGGAAAGCCCCCAGAATAGCAGAAACATGAGAGGCGCAATTTTGCCCGGACGCTGCCTTTAAGCTTATTTAGCAGGTGGATAAGGCTTTGAACGGGATACGGCACAACAGAATATGCTCCAGCATTGAATTATCCAACACTACGAGGACATCAGTTCCTATTCATTCAAGACAACAAGAAGCTTTACGGGAGTTCGTGTACAAAATCTTGGTGAAATGCGGGTTTCAAAAAGATTATCGACAGCATTCAACAATTTTCAAGCTCCTCTAGCAATCTTCATCCGCCAAACGCCACCCTTCACAATTTGACTTATATCAAATTTTCCATTATGCAGGGTTTTCCAAAAAAATCTACAGGGTTGGTGGAAAGTCTTTGAACACGGTATTTTTATCGTTGTCACGAAACTAGACAACATATTCACATGAAATGAATATATAATGTTTATCAAACACTCTGCTATATAAAAGTACCTTTACATTTCAAAGATCCCTCCTTCGGCGCGAATACAGGCTCGAAGACGCTTGGGAAAGCTGTCCACGGTGGCACGAAGGTACTCCACGTCGATTTCTTCCCACGCCTTCCGAAAAGCACGTCGCAGGGACTCCAAAGTCTTGTGTGGGTGAGCGCAAGCCTTGGCCTCAAGAACTGACCATACGCTATAGTCGAGGGGATTGAGATCCGGCGAATACGGGGGCCATTCTGCAGGAGTAATGAAGTTCTTTACGTTGCTCTGAAGCCATGCCTGAACAACCTTCGCCTTGTGAGCAGGTGCGCTGTCCTGCTGGAAGCACCAATCTCTACCGGAAAAATGGGTATTGGTCCAGGGTAGCAGTAACTTCTTCAGGATGCTATCCAAATACTCAGCAGCGTCTACCTTGATGCCCTGAGGCACAAAAATCAGCGGCGTCTTGCCGTCGGAAGTGATTGCCGCCCAACCCATCACAGAAGCCGGATGGAGCTTACTTTCCACAAGTCGACCTTTGCTGTTTGCTTCTTCGAGCGACTTGGATATGATCTGCTGTTTTGGCGATTGAAAACCTGCTCCACGGTGAAAATTTTCTCGTCAGAAAAGAGGATCGTTGGGTGGCGTGCCTTGGAGAAGCGCTCAAGCAATCGGCGACACCTGTGAAGTCGGGTCAGCTTCACGTTGTCTTGAAGTGCGTGCGTTTTCTGCATCCGGTAGAGCTTCATCCCAGAGTACACTTTCACGATGTCCGAGATGGTCCTACGACTGACGGACAGCTCTGATGCCAGCTCACTCAAGCTCCTTTGCGGATTACGGCGTATGCGTTCTCGGATGATCTTCCGGTTCGCGGCAGTGTTCGCGGTGGCTGGTCTACCGTCCCTAGGACGGTCCTGGGTACTGTTTGTCTCCTTGAAACGGCGCAGGTTGTACCACACTGTGTTCCGCGGAATTCCGAGTATTTGAGCGATCTGCTTTTGTGACTTCCCTTCCATGTGCATCTTTACGATCAGCTCGCGCTCTGAGGATGGCATAATTCCGATAGGATTAAGAATATCAATCCAATTTTTGGAGGGCTTTTATAGAAGAGTTTAAAGATCATTTACACCAAAAATAAGATAAGACATGATATGATATGATAAAACAAGATAGCACCTAAATGTTGTTCAAAGACTTTCCCCCAACCCTGTACGTTTGATCGAATCACTCTCGTGCTTAGAAAGCCTTTGTGGGCTTATTGGTAGCGTACCAGAGAGCTGAATTCAACTCAATATTAAAATACAAAAAGAAACACAAAATTTTGTATGTCATTACTGTAGGAATATGTTTATTAGAGAAAAAAGGAATGTACACCAGGAAAAAGTGAGTAGCTAAAATCTACCTAGCCCTAAAACAAAGCAGCCAAGTCTGATAGATTTTTACAAGGAAAGTTTCAAAAGTCGCAGTGGCCTTTTGACATGAGATGAGTGTCATTTGAAGCAGCTTGAAACGCTGACTCCAAAACAGCCTTCCTTCACCGCAGAATAGTCTGGCTCGAGAGTCATGGGCATTTTAATTACCAAATTTCTTGAAGTACCTGTGATCATGGAAATTGTTTAAACTGTTTGAGCACTACATAATGTTGACGAAAAAGTAGAATTACTTCAAGCACTGATAAACTGTTTCATCTATGTTTAAGCCCAAGATATACAGGCTCCCATAGGTTCTACTCTCAGCGCTCTGAAATTTTCGCAAACTAATTTCAGTAACTCCAGAAACTAATTCAGTAACTAACAGACAAGTTCTGCAGCTAAGAAAGGCTGTTTTAGAAACCAATCTTATGTCAAAAGGCCACGGCGACTTTTCCCACTTTCTTTGTAAGTGTATTTATTAAACAAGGTGCTGACAAGTATCATGCACCATTAAAGCGCTGGAAATTAATTTTTTGCCCTAATGATCGCTAACAACTCCTCGTTCATAAACATTGCAGATAAGGAAGGCAGATGTGAAACTAGCGTTTTATGCCTCCAGTACAGTATACACCTCATCTAGAAAGGCCACTTCGACTAAACATGCTTTTCTTGTGAGCATTGTAGTTTTATGGTCATGTTTTTTATTTTTTATGATCGTCGGTATGGTGGTAACCAGCTTAACACATGTCTAAGATGATCCTGATATTCTGATCACAAACTTTTCTTACAAGGGAATGGTGAGAAATCGAAGTGGCCAATCCAGACAAGCTGCATACCATTAGATGCAGCATGAGTCGCTGACTCTAAATCTGTCTTCCTTACCTGCTTATCGTTTTTCTGGACAAAGCTATAAGCCATTAAAGACCATTATTTTGCTAAGAAATTATGCGTAAAATTGAAATAGCCGTACAGGGCCACGTTCGCCTTAATGCTGGGCCAAAACATGCAGCTAGCTTACCTCAAATTTTTAAAGCCAGAAGCTGAGCTAAAAGTGCAACAATATGCTCAATTTCGCTGTTTTCATGTATGATTTTTTCACAATAAAACCGCTTGTAGCTTCGTCCACAGAAGCGATAAGCAGATAAGGAAGACAGATTCGAAGTCATTGTTTTATACTGCATCGAATGATATACAGCTTGTTTGGTTTGGCCATTTCGACTTCTGACCATTCCCTTGTTAGCATATTTGGCGAATTCGAAGATACGATCTGAATATTTTCTTATCGTGTTCATAACAGCGAATGACGCTAACTACATATTATCCTAAGCATTACCAAAAAGTGCACGACATCTTCTCTCTTAAATAATGGGTTGGCTCACAAATAATGCAAGTTTTCTAGGATTCAACTGTGAGTTGATAATTCGTTTTTGGAACGCTCTTACGAATGCAGAAAAGAATACTGTGAAAAGCAAACCTTAGGGCCGCATGCACTAACCTCCCCGCGGGGAACGGATCGCAGCTTAAAAGAAAGTTTTATATTTCGAAACTCCAGATATCTGGATTTCACGTTGTGTACCTATCCGTAAGTATTCATACTACCCTTTACTATGAACATGTTGAACAGGAGCGAGAAGCTGTACGAACCGCATTTTCCAGCTTTTGTATGATCCCTGATGATCCCCGGCGCTTTTCTTCAAAGTCATTTTTCTTACTCCGAAGTTAAAGGCAGCGTCCAGGCAGATCTGGACCTATGGGGCTTTTACGTGGAATGTACTTTTGGGGCCCTAACTAAGGCACTGCCCAAGCGGCAGCTCAGGTAGTGCTCTAATGACTGAGATATTCCCCTCGAAACTGGCCCCCGCGAACGTATTCGCATGGATTCATGGCAGTTTCGCGCCAGGATCCACGCTTTGCGCCATGAATCCATGCGAAACACGGTCGCGGGGTCCAGTTTCGAGAGGAATATCTCAGGCGTTAGGGCACTACCTGAGCTGCCGGTTGGGCAGTGGCTTAGTTAGGGCCCCAAAAGTACTTTCCACGTAAAATCCCCATAGCTTCAGACTTGCCTGGACGCTGCCTTTAACGAAAACCTTCCAAAGTCGTACTGAACATCTGACACAACAGTGCTAAGCATGTTGCTGATGAGAACAAATGAGTTTTTAAAAAGTCGAATTTTCCGGCAAACCTCAAATTTCGACCTGTGGATCATCGAAAATTTCATGACTTCAAAACATCATTTGTTCTCATCAGCAACATGCTTAGCACTGTCGGTTTAGATAATCTGCACAACTTTGGAGGTTTTTCGTTAACATCGGAGAAAGAAAAATGATTTCAAAGAAAAGCGCCGGGGATCATCAGGGATCATACAAAAGCTGGAAAATGCGGTTCGTACAGCTTCTCGCTCCTGTTCAACATGTTCATAGTGAAGGGTAGTAGGAATACTTACGGATAGGTACACAACGTGAAATCCAGGTATCTGGAGTTTTGAAATATAAAGCTTTCTTTTGAGCTGCGATCCCCTCCCCACGGAGAGGTTAGTGCATGCGGCCCTTAGGCTATACAACATAGACTTTTGTATAATTGTGACCAATAAAAGATCGATTTTCTAGTCTGAAGATTGCCGAAAAGATTTCAAGGACCTCTAGTTTTTAAGACCATAACTTATCGCAAGAAGTGGTGGAATAGAGCGTACTCTGCTCGTTGTATAGCCAGTGGTCAGTTAACACGTTGACGACCATGCAGAGTTTTAGTTGTCTGCTTTCTGGGAGCAAAGCCTTTTACGGACCAGGCCACTTTTTCGACTATAATCACGCATACTGCCATTTACAGTACATCTACAGTGAATCCAAAAGGCTGAAAAAAAAGGTAGAGGTCGTTCCTAGATTCAGTGCAAAAGAGAGCTCATAGAGTGAGTCTATCCTAGGATAGTAGACATTTCAACAAAATTTAAGTCTTGACACACATGGTGTGCCAAGCGGTCCCACACAGTAGTCATTGCTTGACACACCATATGTGTCAAGGGTCGTCAATGTGTTAAAGGCAGTGTGCGGGCATAAACTCGATTATGAGACATTGTGCTTACCCGGGCCTATTCGCTATGCTGAATCCGAAAGTCCAAACTGTAGAGCGCGAAAACAGCAAAAAACGCTCTCCAGTGTGGATTTCCGGATTCAGCATAGCGAATAGGCCCGGGTGAGCACGAAATCTCAAAATCGAGTTTTTGCCCGGAACGTCTCTATGCAATGAAGCTATGAAGCTAAAGTCAGATTTTACGAATCTTTTCAAGAGAACATGTTGCAAAACTGCAGGAAGTATTAATTTTTAGACATTCGGCGACTTGAAGAAAATTGCCTTTTAATATTCTTCAATTTGCCTCGCTATAAGGTGAAGAAGCTCGCCGTTTTGCAAAACATTTAATGTACAGGGTCTCTACTCGCTGTATACTGCGAAAGGTTTGTAACACCTTTTTGCTTTGAATTTTTACACGAGATCAGCGACCGCCCAAGTTTGCAATGACAGTTCACAGTTCAAGGTTTTCTTGGAAAAATTTATTTAAAAGGCATTTTGTAGCACATTTTGTAGCCTTACAATCGTTTTGCACATTTTTTGAAAAATCAGGTGATTTCTCTGGATTTACGGCAAAGACAGGAGGAATAATTTTGAGGTCTAATATCTTACGTTTGCAGGCCAACTTTCTGATGAAAGAGGATCTACAAAAGCTTCACAAACGAAGGACGAGAAGAATGCATCCCTACTGTGAGCAAAGCGGGAAAAAGACGATAGAAGTGTTCCAACAACATTACAAGATCCTCATTCAAAAATATGATTTTACATTCTTGGGGGTGGAAATACCAAATACGCACTGTCAATGACACAGAAAAGGATGGATAAATAGGAAGAACTGTTACGGAGCACCAAATTTTACTTGAGTTTTCAATTGCGCGATTTTACAGCTCAAAGATTGAGGAGGGTAAGGTTGATCTCTAAAAGGTTACCTGATGAGGTAAACAATCAACGAAAACAGATGCATGATGACCGAGAATGACAACAAAGGATGCAAGATGAGTAAATTAATGTCAATTTTCTGAAACCAGGAAAAAGAAAAAAGGTATCGCAGTCCAAAAAGAGACGAAAACAAGAGAAAGTATGAGTTTTCAAATCTTACATTTCGAAAGATGGTGTGCGCTTCGGAAAAATGCACAAGAAGAAGATAAAAGAGGGAGAAAGCGGGACGAAAAGCCATAAAGAACAGAATAAGCAGACTTACTTGAGTATTGTTTTCCTGTATAAACTGCGGTACCGTTTCACTGAATAGCTTCATAAAAGCTCGCATCAAACTGTCCAAAAACTGGTCAAATGTGGGAGTAGTGTTGAATACTTCAAACATATTCCAGGCGTCCTAAATGCTTCGATTGCAAACTCCGTTGACTAGGATAGAATCGTGATTCTTACCTGCACCGCTTTCAGTTTGCTTTCGTCACCTTGGTTGACGTCGTTTAGTGTGCGAATAATCACATCTTGATCTGCTGGGAGTATGGGTTGCGGGGCCATTTGCTGCATAGGCATGCCGGCCCTCATCATTTGTGAAGCCATGGTGATATCAGACAGAATTTAAAATCCAGCCAGTGCACTAAATTCACCTGTATAGTACCACTCTGAAGCCATAGGCTGTGATTACAGTAAATCCTACCTTCAACGATAAGCGGCAAAAGTCAGACGGATATCATCAAAGTCGCGTAGATAAAGGCTGTAAATGGATATTGAAAGGAAAGTGAACGAGAAACGGGAAAAAAGCACCAAATTCGTCAAACACTAGATTCAAGTAGAACGGTGACATTAAACTCCGAGGGTTACCAGACAGGCAGACTACAAAATCAATTTCCTAGACCATTTTTTCGTAAGGTTACGGTACACGCGTACGAAGGATCAGACCAGGGTTTGGTTGTACGCTGCATAAAGGGTTACTTGAAATGTTGATCACAAATGCCATAGCCGTTCGGAAAAGTCTTGTTGAGAGGATTGGTAATTCCATGACCCGCTAATCTCACAACAGCGCTACCGTAGTCAATGAATGTATCTAACTAACTTCAGCTTGTCGAAAAAAGCCGATGTTCGTTCAATGTCTATACGTCTGCTGTAACCTCGAAGATCAATTGTAATCAAGATTTTTAGATACTGATGCGTAAGTTTTTGGAATAGTGCTCAAAAAATTTTAAGCGGGATGAAAAAGTTGTTATATTTGATTGCACAGCAACTGTGAAGTAAACCACCAGAACAAGTATGATGAATATTCGCGTCAAAATAAGGCTCGAGCTAACTATGCGGTACGTTTTACGAAGTTTCTTGGGTGAAAGAAGTATCACTAGATTTGAAGACATGTCACTGAAATGACATTTTCAGTAGAGCTGCTTTGAAAAAAGGGTTACAGAGTAAGTTTTGAAACCAGTGATACTTGCTCGCAAGGAACTAGAGCTTCGCACGATGACGAACATTTCGTGACATGACTGCAGGATTACCAGATGGTGGAATGAAGCTCAAGCTAATGGATATGGTCATAAAAAACGACGGAACCGGTGGGAAACTCATCTTCCCCATCTTCAAAATCAGTAAGACAAGAATACACTATGGAAGGTCATACTGCTATACCAAATTTGTAAAATTGCAATACCTTCGTGGGAGGTCTTCGTCGTCCTGGCCGTGAAGTACGAGTTCCCGCCGCTGTTTTTCCCTGATCAGGCAAGAATTCGTATTGGGTCAAGTGTAATGACTGGAGCAAGAGAAAGTGACTGTATTATAGATCCCAACTGGTCATCGACTTGTAACAGTAGTCAAAACCAGGCGTAGAGGGATTGCGCAGCTGCTGTGACTGCACAAACTTCGCTAAAAATGTCTCGCTGAGGTTGTCCTTCAGAAAGGATGGAAATCAAGTGGTGCGCACTTGCATATGCTAAAACTGGGAATTCAAAAAAGTACTCAAAGTTGAAGATAATGAACCAGTCAAGATCAAAGTTGGAATTTCTATGTTTTCGAGGTTGTTCTTCTGCATAGCTATGATTGTTCGCAAAACAAAACATAATCATGAGGCGTCTCCGAATCAGTGATAGTCAACTAGTCATGACTACATAAGATGTAGGTTAGAACCTTAATGCGCCTGCGGCATTCTGCTCGAAGGAAACCTTTATGAGGTCATAACCTTGCAACGCGGAAGAGCGAAAACATGTAATCGAGTACATATACCGTATTCAAGTACAGGCAAGTCTCTAGTTTTATCCCACTGATGTAAGTTTGAGAACAGGCGTCTCCAGTTCAAACCGCTAAATTCTGATGTTTAAAGTTTGTTCGTAATTGTGTCCTGGCCTTTTCAAAACAGACTATGTTGAAATGAAATGGAGGACCTCGAAAACATAGAAATTTCAATTTTGATCGTGACTGGTTCATTATGATTACTGAACATCAACTTTGAGTACTTTTTTGAATTCCCAGTTTCAGCATATGCAAGTGCGCACCACTTGATTTCCATCCTTTCTGAAGGACAACCTCAGCGAGACATTTTTAGCGAAGTTTGTGCAGTCACAGCAGCTGCGCAATCCCTCTACGCCTGATTTTGACTACTGTTCCAAGTCGATGACCAGTTGGGATCTATAATACAGTGAGAAAGTGCCAACTCGGCTGTAGTTCGTTTTGGTTTTCGCTTTATGAGATCCGCTGATGTGTGTGTGTGTTTGGTTAATTACTGTACTCGTTTTCAGTTCTACTTCCCCCACACGTACCTAATTTGTAGTTCGTTTCAAGACTTCTCTTTGCAGCCGATCCGGCATGGGTGGTCGAATCAGCTTGGAAACGAACATCAAAGAAAATCCGTCATTGCAAAGGTTTAGTGGGCAGGAGTCGATTTCAGACAATGATCCATTCTGGAACACACTTCTTTCGTTCAATTTAAAGATCGACGATTATGACACGTGGGCGGCTTTCCCTTTTTTCAAGTTTTTTTGGTTTTTTTTGCTCAAATGTTTGCGTCAAGAAAAGAGATGTTTCACGTTTGACCAGTTCTTCCGATTTTTCTATCGATCGAAGTTAGTTGTATTTGAGAGTAAAAAATCTCCATCTGCATTCATTCAACGATTGAAGAAAATCCGAGTAATATCTACATGAGCCATGTGAGAATCGATATTTTTGAAAATACCTCGCTCCTTTTGCAGAGCAGAGGCGAGAGCGTTCGACGAGTCATTAAATGACTTCTTACAATCGCTTATGTATAATACACAGACTACTGGGAACTTCGCTGCTTTCATTAAAGTCTTTCTTCGCCGTTCAACTGAATTAAAGACGTCTGAACAATATGAAAAGTGAGTTTTAATAGACTCTGATCGTATAACAGTGCGTCATTGTAGAATTTCAGTAAAATATATTTATGGCAAACTGCAAATGCCTTAATTATTCTGCGATATGTTTGTAAATTTTTGACGCAACGTATGAATGAGAGTGAATTCGTCAAAGTTTTTGCAAGTTCTGCTTCTCTTCCATCTTCTTCCGCTAGCTCCTCAGACGATGAACGTAAGTTGTCTAACGCCTGGATAATAAACCCTGTAATAGCAGTAGGTATTTTCAGCAGAGACAGTAGAAAATGAATCTGATACTGATGAAATTTATTGCAATACGGCGGAGAAGCTGCTCGATACCCTTATTGTTATCCTTGCAGATCTTTCTGTGAAGTAAGTTTTCTTTGGCCTTTTTTCTTTGATTTCAACTTTTCTCTATCGCACTGTTGCCTTTTGGTCTTTTATGGCTTTTACGCTCGCAGAATTTTTTTGAAGCGGCCACTTTTATTGAAATCAGCGATAATGACACCTCGCAGTTTTACCTATTTTATCGATGAGTCGTTACAGTGAAAATACTATGGCTATACATGTCGAGGCTGTGAAATGCTTGATCACAATGCTAAGCTCACAGTTGTATAATGATACTGTGGCCGATACGTCTGTGGTATTCTCATATTTCATCAGTGGAGCATGGTAAATTGTCAACAATATAACATCCATTTCCTGATCGTGCTAATGCGGATTTAGTAGCAAGCGAGCTGCTGTTTTGACCAAAACATTGCTGAAGAACTATCTACTTCACAATAGCGAATACCATCCATTGAAGAAGAAAGAAGGAGGGAGCATCGTTTTGGGAATAGCTAGTAAGATTGAGCGAGATTCTTTCCCATTCTTCCAAGAGACTACTGCATTCATTTGCAGATTCAATCTGGTCCATAGTGCAGTCCGCTACTGTTGGTGAAGATGAATCGGAAGACGTTGAGGAGCATGTGGTCACTCTTGGTAGTCTAAGCATCCTTCTGCTCCTCAATCTGGCATGCCATCATCCAGCTAAAGGCTGCAATCCCTTCAAAGAAACGCTTTCTTTATTCCAGAACTCTCAAGGTATGATTTAGTTATTGATTACTGTGGGAAGGGAATAGAAATGTTCATTCCAGAAGTATCTAGTCTCACTACTGATAAAACCACCTTCAAACTCGACTATAACGCGCTTTACGAACGGCTATGTGCCACAGCTCGCCAGGAACCTCCCATGTTATTGCTTTATCTGTTACTGCATCGGAACTCGGGATTCAGGAACTTTGTCTTGTCGAGGATCAATCTGGAGAATTTGGTGAGATTCAACTTTTTAACTTTTTGGTTCAATTGTTACTTGAATGCGTTCAGCTGTCTTTTTCTCTGTTTTTTGTCAAAGTTATGCACTATTTTACGTATCAAATACGAGTGAAAGCTTTTTCGTGTTGAAATGCTCCGCGTCTCATGCAACTTTTGTCGTGATAGGAGCCGTAATGGTTCTTGTTTTGCGGCCTCACTTTATGCACGACTCTTTGTAGTGAACAAAATTGAAAACAAAAGTCTATTGCCGATTCTTTTGAACGGAACATATTCCATTTTTATGACTTTTATCTCCTGTTTTCACTTATATCACTGTAGGGCACAAGTATTTCGTGTAAAGTGTAGTCGAATTATCTGTTTCTGATGCTGCAATCAAGTTTACCTGGCTTCGATTTTCGTACTGAGTAGCTTGGAGTCCCCCTTGAAAGTCTTCTTTCCGACGCAGGACGTTTACCTGGTAACCTTCAAGGTAATGCATCTCCGATATACTGCATCTGTTTTGCTAGAAGCCTTTAAAAAGTACCACTTGATTTTTTGTTGTGTACGTGTGTTGAGTAGCTCTGGGAAAGTGCAAGATTTGAAGTGCTTTGCTCTTTATCGCAAACGCTCAGGCCAGTGCTTTAGCATGATTCCGACGTGGTCGAAGGTTAATAGGGAATCTCTAGTTGGTATTGGAAAAGGTCCAACACACCAATAGTAGCATGATTATTTCAGAATGCATTTGCACCGAATTCACTGAAATATCTGATTGCAGGTGATGCCTGTAATCAAAATCCTCTATGAGGGAGTGGCATCATCATCAACAAACTCACATCATATGTATCTGGCTCTAATTGTCATGCTTATTCTTAGTGAAGACGATTTCTTTTGCAAGATCATACATGAAACGGTGCGTACTTTTTGTTATCTTTTCTATCCTTTAGAATTGTAACGAAGTCAATTTAGATGATTCATGACGTTGACTGGTTGGAAAGTGAACACCCACTTAGGGAAATATCTCTAGGAGGACTTTGTGTCTTGGTATTCGTGCGGACCATACATAAAAATGCTATTCGTGTTAGAGTAAGTTGGGCAAGACACTTTTTTTTATAATGTCATTAGTCAAGCGATATGGTTTCGCAGAAGAAATTCCAAATTAGTTCCTATTACAAATGTCATGATCATTCGAAATTCACCTTCTCCTGTTCTAGGACCGATATCTCCACACCAACTGTTTGGCAGCCTTAGCTAACATGTCATCTTGCTTCAAAAATCTTGCTCCAGTTGTGTGCCAGAAAATAATTATTTTGTTGGAGGTGATAGCTTTTATGACTGCGATTAAATTGGGTCGAATCTTTTTATTCAGTTGCTTACCAAGCGACATGTAAAAATGGTGGAACATATGCGATTGGCATCTGAGCAAGAGTCTTCGGAGGGACAACTAGAATACGTTAGCGGTTTTACCTTTCGTGATTCTCTCAACCGGCGCATTCATTTCTTCAGCACGATGACGTCACTGCATTGGAAGAAGGTATACGAACTCTGTTAGAAATTATCAACAGTGCGCTTTGTGGTAATCTTCGTAACAATCCCCACCTGATTTACACTTTGTTGTACCATCGCAGCTTATTCGACTCATACCAACAACATCCCATGTTTCAGGTATGTTCGTTTGCACGCAGCTGAGCATAATTATGAGCTGCACAACATAGTTTATATTAATGACTATTCAGTAGGAATATGCTTGTCATATGATAGGAATTCTAGGATCTACTCGCTAACATAACACTCGTGATATCGCATTTTTCGTCGAAGGTGGTCCATGTTAATGCGGGAGATGGTGCAGCCATGATGGAAATCATTGAAAAGGAGGCCATGGTATTGCCAACAGATCGACTAGCCAAATTCCCGGAACTACGGTTCAGGTGCGTCACGGCTGTATCTTCATTGATTCGCAGATTGCAAGTTTGGCGAGGTTTCTATTTTGCTCTACCGAGAAACTGAGAAGGAGGCACTCAATCTTTCTATCCATCAGTAGGAAGCGTTTTTGTGTGAAAGTAAGAGCAGGGATAGGCGTCGTATCGCTTAGACTTCTTATCAGGAATAAATGCGGTAGCAACCACTTCCGCTGATAAATCTTCTACAAGTACTAAAATCGTCTCAATGGGAAAACCTCTAGAACTTTCGGTATTTCGCTTTGTGAAAGGTTTTGACGAGGACGACTCAAAAAGACGATATCAAAAATTGGCAGGGGTGGGGAAAACTTTTTCGAACGAAGAGGCATGTCGTTGTTTCCAAAAAAATTGAGGATGTTTCCAAAATTTCGAAGGCCTATATTCTAAAAGTTTAGGAAGAGGCACGCGAACCTTTCTATAGGCTTTTGCATTTTCGTGCACTAGTGAAAACAGATCATTTGCGCATTTTTTGAGCTTATGTAATCAACTTTGATTTTCGAGGCCCATTTTTGGGGGTGCCTTGTCGGTCCGCCAGTGGTTAATAGTTATGAGCTTTGGAATAGTCACGGGGTTCATTTTTCTACTTTTTTCACATATTCCTAGTTTTAATCATGTTCCTTTCCAGATACGTCGAAGACGAAAACACGGTAGACTTCTTTGTGCCATATGTATGGCGATTGACAGTGCAGCACTCTAGCATCCCATTTGAAGGCTCTAGGGTTAAACTTTTCAACGCTCGTATGATATCTACTGCTGGTTAATAAGCTTTCATTGCCTAAATGTCTGTTGATTTTAGTCTCTAATCTTCTAACATGTACACTGTGATACATTTTCTCGTCCTTAAACGTGCATATTAAAATATTATTGAATTTTTTTCTAACTAGCAGCAAATATGTTTCGATTTCTACTATGGGTATGCGCTTAAGACAATTTTTTCCGTCGTTTATACATAGTTTTCTGCATAAAGATGGCCAGTAATTGTTTTTTTTGGCGCATCGGATGATCACTGATTAATAGAGGAGCATTGAGCTATGTTATTCATCGCTCAATGACATAATATTGATATAGCGGTTCTCAGTCTGGGGGCTGAATCCGAAAAGTCCTATAACTAGATTTTCTCAGCTGTGAGCCTTTATCTGTATTTCATCTGTCTTTGAAATTTCCTGAACGGTTGATTGCACAAAGATAATCTTTTTTACGGAAAATGACATCTAAGCCATGGAATGATCAGAAGTCAAAGATTTAGCAGGAGAACAAGAATTTCTACAGGAATGTTTTTATTTTGAAGGGATTTTTTTTGAGTATGTTAAGGCTCACATTTCTCACTAAAACTGTAAACCCTCTTATCGTAGTCTCTACCCTCTTATGTTCTTATCGTAATTTTACATTAATGAAAAGTTGGATGATATATTTGTGTTGGGTGAAGTCAAACTCAACTGGCTCTCGAATGTCCATCAAAACTGATGATGCAGAGGAGCTTTTGGCAGTCAAATATTCGTTAAATTTTCAAAGGACATCCTGATGATGTCAAGCAGCGTTGGAGCCAAATACTAGCTAGTTTCTGTAACACATAAAGGATTCTGTCTTGGTTACGACCACCAAATGGACGGTATTACATTGTGTCAAACGCAATAGAAAATTTCCATAGCAAACCAGTTTTTTTGAGTTGTGGCGTTGTGCGATGAAGATGCTTACTATCCCGAACCCACACAGCTTTCACTCAAATCTGAAGTTGACCCTGGATTTTGGTGAGACTCCTATCTGGAAAGATTTTGCCATAATTTAGCATATCGTGTAATTATTGCCCTTTCTTCAAGCCTTTCTGCAGTGTACTACATCTATCACTTATTATAACGTCTAGCGTTACTCAAAGGTGCGATTTTACATAAGAAGTTGTTGGAAAAAAACAATCTTATTCAAGGATAGAATGCATGAAGTTGCCTGGTTTTGCTGATTCATCAAAATACATGAAAAATTCCAGTCCTTTGAGAAAATCGTTTGATTCAATAAGCTTTTGAGAACGGAAAGCTTTCCAAATGCGCTTAAATCAGAATTCTTTGTTGGCATGGCAACCGTTCAAGCTGTTATCCAAATGCATTTATAAATATGTCTGCTGCAATTGAAGTTTAATTAATCTTGTTTCACGACCTACCTTTCTTAACCAAGAGAAGCTCGTAAGGATCACATACATATTTACCTCTATGCATATTTATACTTCTCTATTTTTTCTACGTAACTTTTCAACTTTTTGTATTAGCTTTCTGAAATTTACCAAGTTGATGCAAGAGTAGTTAGTGTTCCTTATCCTGCTCCGGCAGAAAAGTTATAAAAGTGTATAAAATATATCATGCGATAGAGTAGGATATCGCTTGAACAGTCGCAAAAGGTTTGATGCACTTAAAGTTGACATGAATTCTATGAATTTTCAATACCCAAAAATCGAATTTCTGTTCAAGAAATTGTTACAGACCCCCAACTCATACACCCATATACCTTCTACATCAGACATTCATATATACATTTGCCGTATATTTCTTCTGTCTGTAAATTGGAAATAAAAAGTTGGCCAAAGATAAGGAAATTTTCCTTTTGGGGGTTTTATATGTTAGAATCCATAATTCTCGAGAACTGGCGTATCATAAAGGCTGCAAAATTTATTGTCACACTTATGAGTAGAGAATAAGTCAGAACAGTCCAACATTGCTTTTGCCAAAGCATGCCGATTTTCATTTTCAACTTCTAGCCTGGGAAAAATACAGCAAGTGTAAATATGAATAGCTGGTGCGATAAATTTTGGCAAGTTACAGAATTGGAGAATTCTGGAACAAAACTAATTTCCAAATTTTTTTAAACTTTTATTTCAAACTTCTCTGTGTGCCAAACTTTCGAGATTGTTGGAACACTAATGTGTGGAGCTTGACTTGCTCTATCAAACAATATGATTATAAATTTTTACATCTTCTCTGTCACGGCAGGATTAGGAAGGCCCATTATTTTTGGACCAACTTGTTATAATAAAATACTACAGTTGTTTACATAATCGAAAACATAACAATCTTGAGTTTTTGAGCTACCCAATACTTCTGATATGATTACATACAAAAAATATGATTACATACAAAAAATCTCAATGCTCTAGAAGTCAGCCATACTTTGCAGTTTAATCTTCATCTTTTGAAAATCATTTGTTACTTTTGTTTACGAAGTGTCCCGACATTACAACCAAAACTTTTGAACAACTGTCACATCACTCAAAACAATGATTATATCAACAAAAGATAAAAACTGTCTGAAAACAAAAAATTCTGGCCATCAAAAATCTTGCATACTTATCAGCGCACCAGCCATAGTAAATTTTTTTGTTGAACCTTTTGTCATGAACTAGGAAATTCAGTGGTGAAAGTATGGTACCTATTGAATTTTGTATTATGTACTAACATTTGATTTTTCATTAGTATTATATTATTATTTATTATTCTATTATTATTCTATTATTTTTTAGAATTTTATCGAATTATTTTTGGCAGATTTCCAACTTTGGTTATTGAATAGCCTGAACTTCCAAACTGCCCAGTGGTTACTACCAATGCTCTTAGAAGTCCATAAAAAACCTAAAAAGTTGGGAAAGAAGACTAAGATTTTTTTTATAAAATTTTAAAAAATTGAGTTTGGAGTGCCACTACAGAGTTGCCTTCATACTCACCTTCATACTCATTGTAAGTCATGTGGTGAGGGCATAAATAGTGCCAGCGGATAGCCCTTTATCCCTTCCCCATAAAATGCCAGATATAAGGATCTGCTAAACTTTCTAGAGTTTTCCAGAAGAAGATGAAGGAAGTTTGACAAAACTCATGTAACAACCTAGTAAAACAACCTTCTACCTCCCCACTGCGGGTCCATGACCTTCGAGAGGCGGATCATGTCCTCTGAACGACCTTGCTACCTTTCCCCCATTCTCCCATTCTACGATCTCGGTGTTACCAGAGCCCTTTTCGTTATATTTTGCATGTATTAGGACATGGGCAAACCAAACTGCTTTCTGTGATAAACATCCTCTTTCGACCGCATGGAGGATTCCCCAGGATTGCGATGCGATAAGACTAGTTTGAAAAACTAGTTGTGCTGGCAAAAGCAGAACAAGTAACAATCTACACCCTCCCCCCCCCCTTGATATGCGCATGTCAAGGAAGTAACATCACTGCATCTCTAAAGGCTACAATCTTTTTATTCTTGGTTTAGAGGGGAGGGTGTAGATTGTTACTTGTTCTTGGTTTAGAATCCATGATCAACATCCTTCTATTTACTTTTAGCTGGGATTTTGGCAACATTTATTATTTTACTTGGCTTGAAAATAATATAGTGGATTGTCTGTAAATTGCACCGGATTCTTTGAAATCGTGCACACATCCATAAGTCCAGTTCAAAAAAATTGTTTTTTCTGCGAAACTTTGTAGCAACTTTGTAAAAATTATTCGCTTTCTAGCGGTGCTTGTGATATCGTTATTGGCATGCGATGCATGCTATTGAAAGGAAACATACAATTGCAGTTTTCTAATTTCGTTAGTTAAAAATGGTAAAGCTCCCAACTATTGCTTATTCGGTTTTGCTTTGGTGACTGCTCTTTTGCCCAAGGCTAAGGAAGATTTTGCAGAGTGGATACCAGGTGCCTACAGAAGTAATTTTCAATTTTTTGACTTTTCGTTCAAGCATTATTGCATCGCACTGATACGACTGATAAAATACAGTATCTATTTTATATGATTAAAATAGATTGCACGAAAAAGTCGTAAATAGTCTTTTCATCACATTTGCCGCAGGCTCTCTGAACGATTTTTTGTAATGTGCAGCATTGAGACAACTAATAGCAGTAATATATAATGGTTTGATTTTATCTAACAATGAGTATTCTACCACATGAATGAAAACGATGACCACAGCACAAGTGTCAACATCTACCTTTGAAAATCTTATGAGAAGCCTAAAAAAGGTACGATTTCCTGTGATATTCGTTGCAGATTTACGAATTAGAACGGTAAACTCTAACGTTGTTGTGGTTCCTTACTGTTCGATATTGTGGAAGAAGAATGAATAAGCAATAGTGTAAATATGCGAGGACATTTTATAGTCAGTTTCGGCCTCTTGTGCCCGAAATGCAATATTTTCTCCATGGAACCAGCAAAAACGGACATCGTTTGCTAGCAGTCCGGATTCTTGTGGAAATTTTCACCCAGCTCGTCACAGAGAGCAAAACGTTTTGCAGCAAAAGTACAAACGACCTTTTGCAAAGAAAATCACAAGATAAAAAAGTTTCACTTGAAAACCTCTCGAGAAACCCTTAGACGCTCTCGTTCTATGTGTTGTGTTCCCCTATCTCCGTTCGCATCTGCGAAATTCCAGATGCTGGCACCAGTTCCGGCATTTCCAGACTCCACCCCTTTCATCTACACTCTTCCAAAGGGGATCGTCATGCTAGCGTTGATTCCGTTTGTCTATATAGGATACCGTATTTGTAGGTACGAAAGACTTCAGCCTATTTGTCTATGAAGCCTCTATAACCTTTGTAGGACCGTTTTTGCCCTGCTTCATGCAGTCTTGATCTACCTAGTGGCTCCACTTTTCTATTCTCCAAATCTTTCTCGGTACCAGAACAGATGGACAGGTTGGTAAATAAGAATGAGATTTGCCTTTTTGAGCGTCTGGAAAGGGATTAGAAAGGTAGCTGAGAACTGGCAGTAATTTCGAAATAATTCGACTAGAAAAATATTTTTGCTTACAGTCGTTACCGGAGGAACAGATGGTATTGGCAAAGCTTACACTCTGGAGCTCGCTAAACGTGGTCTTCGAAAATTTGTGTTAATTGGCAGAAGTCAGGAGAAACTGAACGACATCAAAACTCTACTGGGTATGGTAAACTACATGTTCATTAATATTATCAACCAGTCACTTCGATTCTCTTCCATTTGGAATCCTCTTTTTGCCATAAGACTTTCCTAGGTAAGGTGTAAACTAAACTTCTTTCTGTTCATCTGTCAGCCACTTCTCTCTCATGTTATCAAAGACCTTTTTTGCTAAAGAGAATAACCATATCGATATTGAGAACAAATTAGGCGATTCACGGATTCCGGACTAGTTTGATGGACTAGTTTTACAGAGTTGTGGTCAGTCATATTGTCACGCAGCGAATGTCAGCGATCGTGCTGGAACAAATAAACTATGAATACTTCTACATAAAGCACTTACCTCTAACAAGGGAAGGATACTTGGTCGAACTGGCGTTTCCATTGGAAATGTATACTATCTTTAGAGTACGGAACGCTAATTCCGAATCTGCTTTCGATATCTGCAAAGCGCTGCTGCGATTGTAGTTATGGCTAATCTTAGGCGCAAAAATCTCGAGGCGCAGCTACGTTAAAATCATTCAGATCTGTAGTCTTTGAGCTCAGAGGGGATCGTGATTACTGCCAGGACGCTTCGTGCAATTAATACTTTTAGAATAATAAATTTAGGCTAGTCATTACTCCATTCAAGCGCCGAAAAAACCTCAACACCCGGTTTTCCCTTACCTAAACCATGAATTTTTGCCTCAGAAAACTCTCATAACTCCCATCCCAGAAGCGTTTTGAAATATCGAGAGCAAATTTGGAATCAGCTCTCCATGCTCTATAAGACTGTAAACATCTCATATAGAAACTGCACTTCGACCGAGTATCTTTTCCTTGTAAGATTATGAAGTCCTGCATCACAGAGGTCAGAAATTTTTTTCGCTGTGTTGACTGAAAACTATGGTTCAACTGAGCCGAAAAGCGAATTGTGCCTTTTGCATGATAAGATTGAAACTTAAGAATCACAATTTGGCAAAGCTGGTCACTGCATTATTAGGTCCTCAGATGTTTGTTATTCTCGTTTCGTCAAATTGTGTAGCACTTTTCGGAGTTTATATCGTAAAACTGTGACTATACCACTCAGCGAAAAGGGATCTCAGAACATGAAGCTTGCAAAATTATATTAAATTGTCTCATTAGTCTTGCACTAAACTTGCTTGAAAAGTCGTTTTAAAATTGGTCAAAAATTGTTTTCACCTACGTTGCATTTTTCTAATTTTTCCTAAGAAGGAATGTTTATGAAGTCTTGTTAGACAAATTTTCAAGTGAATCTAAGTAGCCGAAAACAGTTTAAAAATCTAATGTAGAGGCCAACTTGGTCAGAGTAACCTTTGCCTAGAAAACCCCTTTGTAAAAGGAAAAGAAGAAATCGTATCTCATGGGCTTGTTAGCATTTTCAGCAACCGATACTCAACAATGACAATCTTGTCTTTTCTTCAATAGTTTATAGTTCGTCGATTTGTTAACAACGAATTTTGCATTAAGCATCACTAAAAGCGCATGACTCTCATCTCTTAGAATATAAAAACTTGAATTTGATGGAAAAAAATTTGGCTCAAAATTTAAGTGCGTCATATAGTGCGATCATGGAATACTCAAAGAATGCGTAGTCTTGCAGAATTTGTAAAAACACCCAAAGAGAAATGGTTTTTCTCTACTCTATCAATCTTCTCGAATTATGAACTATGAACCAACCACCTTTACCGCTCCATCTACTTCACTGCCTGCCCTTTCAGAGCTCTCCTACAAATGCCGGGTGAAAACCTACGCGTTCGACTTTGCCAAGGACGATTTCGATCAGCTGCGAGAGTATATCTCGGACATAGATGTCGGGTTTGTAGTGAACAGTGTGGGAGTCGGGCGTGAGAATCTGGAACGCTACGGGGACAAACCCGAGGAAGATCGGGAGATTCTGAAAATTAATGCATTGGGATCAGCTGAGGTGAGTCGGGGAGGTCGAATAGTTGGTTTGATGACTTGAAGGAGTTATTTGCAGTTTTTATCGTTGGTCCTTCCTTCGATGGAAAAATCTGGAGGAGGTCAGATTGTTGTGCTCTCCTCATCGCAAGGATATCGGCCTATTCCGTTCTTAGCTTCATACTGCGCTTCTAAGGTAAGTGGAAGATAATCAAATTCGGATTTTGTAGATCGGGAACATTTTCTTGCCGTTTACATAACGGCACTCTGAACAAAAACCTAATTGAGAACATTTTAATAATTATCTCAGATTTGCACTCGTAAATTTCGACGTGATGCATGTAAAAAGGAGAATTTGTAAAGTTTCCAATTTTTGCATTCTTTTCACCTCTCGTTTCTGAAAGGTAGAATTGATTGCCAGCATAGTGGAGACAACGTCGAAATTAGTTTCATTGAATTACAGACGAAAAAAAGCAAAAAGCGTTGCAGGGAAAAACTTTGAAGAACATAGGAAAATTTAAGAGAGTTTACAAGCTGCCGTGAATTTGCTGACTTTGTGTGCATTTGCGGCATCAATTCATGCCGATGGATAAACTCTATATCCTCTATGTATGTTGGAATCAGACCAAAGATTTTCAGTAAGCTTTTGAAATTTTCCAGAATCTGAAGGAAAAAGTAAAGGCAGAGATCAACCATTAGTCCAATATCTTTTCCTTACAATTCTATGATATTTTGTTTAATAACCTGTCCAACATCAAAAAATTTTCACACCCTAACCTTGTATTTTTAGGCAGTGATGTCTTTCCTATGCGAAGCTATCGATCGGGAATACAAAACGATTTCTGTGCAATGTCTGACTCCTGCACTTGTGGCCACGAAAATGACTTACTATACCGTGAGTGCCATTTCCGGTTATTCAAGAAGGGAATTCAGGTCACGGTCCACTGGGGACAAATAGAAACTACCCGGCGCGTGCGTGAGTGTAGTCGTCCTTTGCCAGATTTTTATCTACTTGCTCTAGTTTACAAGGCTGTTGAAGATGTGTATCTATAAGTGAAATCAACACCATGGAACACGAAGGTTTCCATTAGTCCAAAAGGGGTCACGGAAAGCAAAGAGAGGGCAATCTTTTGAAGTTTAGATGTAAATGGTGAATTTGCAGAAAGGCTCACTGTTCGTCGTCACCCCGGAAGACTTTGCGGAACGAGCGGTGAACACCATTGGTCTCACGAAAAAGACAAGTGGATGTTTTAACCATGAAATTCAGGTATAGCAGCTTTCTATGAGATGCTGAGATTTGATAATATCATGACTTTTGAGACCATATTTGAATTGAATAGAAATATGTTTGAAAATCGTCTAATCAGTCATTTTCTATGAAGTTCATTTGAAAATTCTTGACAGTATGGAAGATTTTTATGGGCCCCAGCTTTTTTTGTAACGCCTGCAGATCCCAAATTGCTACAACGCATACTATGTGCTCGTTTTCTTCCGAAAAAACTTAGTTTATCACTCAACGGTGACATACTATATAAAAACGATACTATCGTTAGTTGCTTTTTGTTACATAGGAATCTATCTAAATCAATAAATAGTGATCGCAGCAAATAAAATCCGCTATTTTGAAGGTCTACTCAAAAAACCTATGTGTTATCGTAATCTAGACGTACTGTTAACCAACGTTAATTTATTCGCTAAGTGTAAATCACAGAATTGAACTCTTCTTTGAATCAAAGAAGTTTGAAAAAGTAACCTATTGTTTAACTGACTCCAAATGCGAGAAAGGGTACTTTTGCGGTAAATTTCCACCAAAAAAAGAATTTTTGGTGGGGAACTATCACTATTTAGTTTCACATTCACAATTGGCATAATAAATAATTTTCACTGCTTCAAGTTTTCCAGTCCGTCTTTGAGTATTTGAAAAGTACTCAGAATTTTCGTTTTTCTTGCTTTTTTGACACATTTGCTGATACGACAATAAATTTGCATATTGTGAACTCCTCTTCAATCTGCTTTCTTTGGAATTTTTCTATACGAGGCAGAACGGAGCTTATGATGCTCGAGGTCTCCTTCTGCTGAAAAAACTTCAGTTTTTTTTCAAAGGAAAGTTGCGATTGTGAAGTCCCTGGAGCAAGAAAGAAATAATAACAACGGCAAAAAGAAGAAGAAAATTGAAAAGCGTAAAACGCTTTGCTAGGGACACCTTAAAAAACAAAGCGATTCATCGAATAACTGCAGTCTGCAACTACCTCAAATCGTGACAGTCAGCAGCGCTTCGAAAGCCATTTTGGGAAGTTTATAAAACTGGTGGAAGCTCGAAAAACATTTGAAAACATATGGCACGAAAATGTACAGAACGAAATTAGAACTGAAATTGATAAACCCTTGCTGTGCACTGCTTTTTAGTTAATCTTATATATAAAGCTGAATGTCTGTTTGTATGTATGTATGTCTGTCTGTCTGTCTGTCTGTATGTATGTCTGTGTGTACGTATGTTCCGAATAGAAAATTCCATTTCTGAACCGATCCGAACCAAACTTGGCACACATACACTACGGGCCCCGGCGGGTGTCATAGGCTACTTTTCGTCATCGATCGATATCGATTTTATCGATTTTTATCGATTTTTTTGCTGAGTTCACCTACTGGGCTGGGAGTTGGCACAGGGGGGTAATCGAGCATGGGGATTCCGAATACAATATTGGTTTTCGGGATTATCGATTACTTTTATCGATTTTATCGATTTTTTTGCAAAGTTTGAGCTAGGGGGCTGGGAGTTGGCGCAGGGGGGTAATCGAGCATGCTGATCACTCCCAAGGGGGGTGATCAGCATGCTCGATTACACCCCTGTGCCAAATTCCAGCCCCTAGCTCAAATTTTCAAAAAATCGATAAAATCGATAAAAGTAATGGACGATCTTGAAAACTAATATTGTATTCGTAATCTGCATGCTCGATCACCCCCCTGTGCAAACTCCCAACCCCGCAGGTCAAACTTTACAAAAAAAATCGATAAAATCGATAACAGTAATGGACGATCCTGAAAACTAATATTTGTTCGTAATCAGCATGCTCGATTACCCCCCTGTGCAAAATCCCAGCCTCGCATGTCAAAATTTACAAAAAATCGATAAAATCAATAAAAGTAATCGATAATTCTGAAAACTAATATTGTATTCAGAATCCCCATGCTCACTTCCCCCCTGTGCCAACTCCTAGCCCTGTAGGTGAACTCTGCAAAAAATCGATAAAAATCGGTAAAATCGACATCGATCGATAACGAAAAGTGGACTGTGACACCCGCCGAGGCCCGAAGTGTATGTGTGCCAAGTTTGGTCCGGATACGGCGGAGCCGGGTAAGCCAGCTAGTTATTTATTTATGCACAAGAGTGCGTCTATCATAAAACAGCAGAAAAACTAAGCATAGTCACTAATAAAAAAGAAGAAAACTAAATCAATTTCAAGCAACACTCATTGAGGTGCATATGAGGGCCAGAATGATACTACCCAACAAAGAATGATATCGAGATTATAGCATCCAAAATCGACTACCTTAGCTAACCTTTTACAAACAAATACAAAAACAATTCACCGAATTCCAGATGCTGCTCCGGCACTTGTTCCCATGGAGTGTGCTCAAGTACCTGATTATGCCAATCTACTACTACCACCGAAGGCGCATGTGCAACATTCACGCCGACTCGGCGAAGAAAGCAATGCTCACTCGTTCTTCTGCCAAAGCATGAGATTCTCGGTTTTCATTGAAATTAGAAGAAAGCGAAATTTTTTTACGGGTCTCAGCATCATCGTCGTGATTAAAAATGATTTTTGAAGAATAATAAATCTTCATTTTCTGTATTAGCTTATCACAGATGTTTGGAAAGCGAATCCTCAAGAAATCGTACAGTTTTTGGTTTGGTTATAAAGCTTGAATGCTTTCGCATCTCCCGCACTCAAGTTCCAGTCAGGGTCTGTAATCCTTTTTGGTTTGGATCGCTAGTATAAGTTTTACTAGTCGCCATAAAACTTGTATCCCAGAAACAAGAAACTTATAAAGAGGAAAAGTGTGCAAAGATGTGACCTCCACTCAGTTTCCTTTCAAGTACTTTATCCGATTATTTATTGCCAGCGGATCGTTTGTCGGTTGCATCCGTTAGAAGTGTGCAGTGAACTTTATTTGTAGGAATGTTGAAGACTTTTTTGAGTAGAATGATTAGTGACCGACTCCTGTAGAATATCAAATTGATCCAAATATTCATAGAATTCCTAGAAAATAATCTCAATTAAAATTGAAACCATAGATGGATAAAGTGTTTGAGAATGATTGTGGAGTCAAGAATCACCATCATTTTCTCAAAGATGTTCTCATCATTACAAAGGGAAATCAAATTCCGACGGAATCGGAGCGGTAGGAAGGCTTGGTTGAAAAACAATTAGCAGAACTTGTTTTTTGTCTTGTTCCTTTTGTTCATTATAAGATCCGCATAACCATAAAGAAGCTTCTTTGTTACAAGTTTCTGGACTTCTAGACATACGACGAGTTTTGTATATCTGTCGCGTGTTGATCAGTACGTTCCACTTCAAAATTTGCTTTTGTTGGAGGAGATAACTTCTTTTTGACCCTGGAAAAAATACTAGTTTAAGTGCAGCTGATGGTTTTTTAGCGAAATCGTAATGCCTTATGGTCAAAAAAATTGGAACACTTTACCAAAATTCAGTCAGCTAATGCATTTTCCATTAGGATGCACGTCTTTCTGCGTGCGATTACAGAGTTATTTTTCCTAGGACAACTTCTGTCAAAGTCATCTATCTAAACTCTGAGATCTTGTTTATAATCAAAAACAACCAAACAACAAAAAAATCAACGACCAAAAATTACTAGCATTTTTCGGGGGGCGGGGGGGGGGGAGGGCGGGACTGAATGCAACAGAAATTTTCTCTAAACGAAAGACGTGCTGTTAACCACGCCCTCTGATAGTGTGAAAATTTTCATTAGAAATGCCAAGATCTTTGCGAGCTTGTAAGGAATAAAGGTGTTAGAAATGAGCGTGGCTGCCGCCCCCAAAAATTTTTTTCCTTGAACTTTCTGATTTTTTGAGTTATTCATCAGTAGAAACAAGACTTGCAACAACTAAAAGCTCATTCGCAGTTTCCTTTACCTGACCATTTATCCGATCTCCCATTCAGTTCCCCACTCCAGCAAGTTCAATTCGATCGAAGCATTTGATAGATTTTGAAGAGCTTCTTAAAAAGCTTCAAGAATGCCAAGAACTATGAAGCCCGGCTTTGGAAACAACATTTCGGAATTCCCGAAAAGGCAATTTCAGAATCAATGCTGGGAGCCGAGGATAGCTCAAAAGAACAAACACAGATCTTACTGTAAAGAAATGTTTTCCGTGCGCTTGCTACCAAGATTGCTCTATGAGGTCGCTTTTTATTTCAGACATTTGCTGAAAAAACTAATACTAGTATAGGACATTCAAAAAATCCAGACGATGGTCCGACCCGCGCAACACGCACGCACCTCCCGACAACCGCATATTCTTGAATTCAATCTTTACTGATCTGCTTAGATATGACAGTACTTGGACACTGGAAGTGACTGAGATGGGCGTTGAGTAATGCCTTTCTGTATGAGGGTGCTATGCCCCTGTGGGCGCAAAGACCGCAGTCAAATTCGTCGTTACGATTTTGTAAATGAACCTTATTTTCTCAAAATTCATAGAAAAAAAATGTTTTGACAAACAAAATTGTTTTGTAAAGGATGTCATGGAAATGATTCTTATGTCATTATAATGACGAAAACATAATACGCTGAGTTCTTGAGTAACGTTTCAAAAATGCTGCTTGTGACTTCCTTCTTGATCTGCGCTTCTGCAGCAAAAGTTTTGATCCTGCTCTTAATGATTCTTTGACTCTGCCTCGAAAAAGGAAGACGAAATATGTGACAGAGCGCTTCATACTTTTCTAGAACTTCATAATACAAAGAACTACTGCGATCGCCGGAGTTGTCAATTTTCGCCTTGTGAAAACTCCTTGCCCAAAAACCAAAGGGCCTGATTCTTCTCAAAAACAAACAAACGTTTTGTAAGAGCAGAATGACTTCTTTGAATGATATATCTGGCCGCAAGACTAACGCTAGGCTCTTCACTTCACCAAAGCTTGAAAATCAAAAAAGGCCTTGATGACTAGACAATCTGATACTCCAAGAACGCCCAGGCGTCGATGATAACAATATCCAATGTAGAAGTCCACCAACCCGGTTAATTCATCAAAAATCTGTGAAGACTTTTGCTTCTTTTTAGCTGAACAGTATGGTAGAAAACAAGCTTTGTAGTTAAGTTATTCAGATCATCAAACGTGTGCTAAGTGAAAAGCGCGTTTTGGATTTTGCAACCCTCCTCCTTGAAATAGGGAAGACAAACTAGTAAATTCTGGGGTTTGCGTTTTCTAACCTATTAGATTATGATGAAACTGCACAAAGATCTTTTAGCATTTTTCGACACTTCTGCGAGGATCATATTATTCGCACCATTTGTAGTAATACGCAATACCATCCAGAGTTTGGAAGGATTTCAAAAAGATCATATCCTCTAAGCTCATTGTCAAGATCAAAATTTCGCTCGTTCCGCAAGCATCATTCTTGCCATCCACAATGAAGTAGGAGTTTAAATTGAATTGAGCTTTCTTGTTAGAAGAAATTTCCTTCTGCTCGTTCTGTTGTACAATGTTTTCGTCAAAGAATACTGGAAGTAGACAATAGAAGAATCAAAACATCATCATAGCTGTTCAATCATAGAGCATTTGAAAAATCGTGATGATGGGCGACCGCGCGCGACACGCACGCAATTCCAGCAACCGCACTTTCGTTTTGGCTTTCATCTCTACTCGAATAATTTTTGTGCTGCGTATGACAGTATTTGAACCTTGGAAGTGACTGAGCTGAACGTTGAGGTGATGCATTTTTATATGAGTGTTTATGGTCTGTGGGCAAAGAGACCGCAATCAACTCTGTCGCCACGATTCTATAACTAACCTATAAATAGGTGCGAAGAATAACTTTTAACAACCTAGGCTATCGCAGCAGCGCCATTTACAAGTTGATGTGAAGTTTAGCCTCTGAAAATAGACCCGAACACGAACGTTGAAAGCCATTGGCAGCTCTATCAAACTTCGATGACACCTCTGCCCATCACACAATTACAAGCCAATCGGCTACTGTTACCCCGTAATGACTCGACATTGTCTCACTGCACCTATATTTGTCAACTGATGCTAGAGTAGCAAAGTTATGAGTGCTTGTTGACCTTGTATGTGTGTTCTGTCGGACGAGATCGGACAAACGAGAGGCGAGGTTTGTTTGCCGAGTCGCCACTTACACTACTTCAACGAGAGCTTAGCTGGTCTAATTCTCGTTCTGAGCTGACCGCTCGGTCGATCTTGGAGTCACTACCGCTGAAGGAAAACGTTTTGCGAGAGAATTTTCGTGAGTTGAAGACGTCCAGAGGATGGGAATTTAAATAAATTTTATCAGGTTCAGGAGGTTCTGTCGCAACATTTGAAAAATCGGAACTTCTTACTGTCACGAAAGTAATGCATACCATTGGTATAATTAGAGAGAGTAAATCATGTAATTTCTGAGGACACGGCAGGAATAAAAGTCCTGAGTTATCTTTCTCACTGAGCAAAGATTAGCTGGTCGCACTCTTCCTTGAAAAGACATGAATTTTGCGAAAACAGCAGGAAACAGGAAAATCGATTTTTCAGTCAATTCTACTTCGAAAACCATAAAAATCATAGCTTAAAATCACAGCTTCTAGAAAAAATCTTGATCGGCACAAACTTAGCTCTTTTAAAATGATGAGGCTAGAAAACTTACTTCATTGACAGTTTTAAATTTTCTAAAATTCTACGAGTCTGAAAATCTCCACACCTCAAGTGATTTCTTTTTTCTCCCAATTTGATTAATTACATCCAATATTATCGTGACAGAAGTTAAGATCTTTTGAAAACGGTGCAACAGAACTCTCGGTTCAACCTAACTGTTGAGATTCCCGTGAAGAAAAGGCGAAAAATTTTTAGTGTATCTTTTTGCGGATGTGACATATTGAACTGAGAGTGTTGCACGAAATTCAAAACCAGCTAACTGTTCCAAACTACAGAACCTGCAAATTTATCAAGAAAACTTACCAAAATAATATTGTTACATACCATAGAGAGATCTAACATGATAAAGCATTGAAAAATTCCTGGAATCTCCGTATTTTTTGTATAAGGCCTGAATAAATCCTCTGAGATCATTACGAAAAAAGTAGATAAAGGGGGAATGCTTTGGGATTCACTCTTATAAACAATTCGCAAAAATTTTTTTCCGAATTTCTTTATTCCAATAATTTTGCGGGAGTAAAGAACCTACTACAACGCAGTCTTAACAGCATGGCCATAGTAATATGAAACTCATCTGAAAATTAAATATTGATAGTTCTCATCTATAAAAGTGTCTATTGATAATATAAACTCTGAAAAATTCTGAAAAAACGAGCGGACTTACAAAAGGCATAAGAGAAACTACAATAAGACAGGGAACCTTACAGCATTGAATTACCGCCGTATAAATAGTCAACCCAAGGAAGAATCTGATGTTATATGAACAGATCGTCTTGGCTATGACTGAAGGTAGCAGCTGATCATGAAGTAAACGCGAACCGCGCAAATTTGTATGGCGGAGCGTCAAATTGTAATTTGTATACTCATACAGTAGTTTTATTTTTCTATTCATTTTATCATACAATCTGAATAGCAAT